TTGTCTTTCCAACAGCCCCATGAAGAGGGTTGTTTGTTCCCATTTTACAGATGAGAAAGCAGAGGCACTGAGAGGTTAAATACCATGGGTAAGATTACACAGTTAGTAAGTGGCAAATCTGAGATTCATACTCAACAGTCTGGTCCAGAGTCCTGGGCTTCAAGCATGCTCCAATACTGACATGTTGGTTTTGGTTTTGCCTTCATCGAGTTTGGTTGGTTTAGTAGTAAAGTTACCCTATATTTTCCCTCGAGTACTTTGCTAATGGAACAAACTGCCACTGAAAAGTGGAGGCGCCTCTGTTATTACGCCCCTGGGTCAGATATCTGGATTTCCCATAGGTATAGTCACATGAAAGAGATTTTAGCATTCAGTTAGATTTTGAAAAATAAAAAGCAACTCTCCATGGAAGTGGGTAAGTATGGTGATGTTCAAGGTTCATTTCTGGAACAATAGCTAACAAAATACTATATACTGACACTTTGATTCCTTGTTCAAAAATTCTTAGCTGTTAACAGGATGCCTGGCTGGCTCAGTCAGTTAAATGACTGACTTTGGCTCAGGTCATGATCTCAGGGTTTGTGAGTTCGAGAGCTGCGTCAGGCTCTATACTGACAGCTCAGAGCCTGGAGCCTGCTTCGGTTTCTGTGTCTCCCTATCTCTATGCCCCTCCCCTGCTCGCATTCTGTCTCTCTCTCTCTCTCTCTCTCAAAAATAAATGAACATTTAAAAAAATTTAAAATAATTCTTAGCTGTTATCAAATATGTTCTAGAAAATCCCTTATGTGGTAAATTGTCACTTATCAGAGTAACATTCTGTTGTTCACCCTTCTCTTGAATTGGTGACCAATTCTTACCTTCGTTCTGGGCCCACTGCACATCTCTAATCCATTTCCTCAGCAATCAATGTCTTTACCACCATTCAACAAGAAAATATTTTCAGTTAGCCCTGGGAGAGACCTGGGTTTACATTCTTCTCAGCTCCTACCTCCTCAAGCACATTAGAATCTGAAAAGAAAACCAGTAAAACCAAAGAGCATCGGGGCACCTGGGTGGCTCAGTCGGTTAAGCATCCAACTTCGGCTCAGGTCATGATCTTGTGGTTCATGAGGTCAAGCCCTGCATCGGGCTCTGTGCTGTGACAACTCAGAGCCTGGAGCCTTCTTCCGATTCTGTGTCTCCCTCTCTCTCCCCCTCCCCTGCTCACACTCATTCTCTGTGTCTGTCTGTCTGTCTGTCTCTCTCTCTCTCTCTCTTTCTCTCAAAAATAAAAACATTTGAAAAAAAAATTTTTTAAAGGGAATCAACAAGTTGTAGACTCCAGTGAAATCCGTGATCTCCTTTTGGAAATCAGGATAATTTTTCTCTGTTACTTTGCCTTAGTAAGAGTTCTACTTCTTCTGATAAATGCCTTAGCATGTTTTATGAACTGAAATTTTGAATTCACTTTTCTTTAGCAACTAAAGAAACTTCTGCCAGAAGTTGTGTTACAAAAGTTCTATCTACATCTGAAGCTGTTTGCTATACAAGTTTGTATCTTTTCTAACATAGCATCAATTAAAAAAAAACATTTAAACAGAACACTCATTTGAAAACATACAGATCTCCCCCAGGGTTATTTTACTTTTTAAATGAGATGAGGAGAGGGGGTAATCATTCTGTTCTGAAGAGAACCCTTTCTCTGTCTGATCACAAGGGATGGAAAGAATATGGGAGAGATATCTGGGGCTTTTGAGTTTAACCATCCTGGCTTGGAATCTGGACTCCACCATTATTATTTCCTATGGCTTTGAGCCTCCACTTTCCCACCTGTGAAATAGGAGTTATAATGCTATGATAATCTGTGTGGGCAAAGAGGCCAGTTAGAATTAACCAGGGTAGAAATGAAGGCGGCAGCTTGACTATAAGATGTTCATACACTCTGCTGTTTCCAGCCCATGATTTTGAAAGAGAGCAAATGGTAACCAGTAGGTCAAAATGAGTCCACGAGGAAAGCAAACAAACATTAGTGGTAGTTGTGGAGTGTAGGAGGGAGAGCTGGAGCCTTAGAATCAGATGACTTTGATTATTAACTGCTCATTAGCTGAATTCCCCTGGGCTAGTTATTTTACTTCTCTGAGCGTTAATATTCTCTTGTGTAGAACGGAGACCATAAGGTCAGCCTTCTTATGTCTCGGAACTATTGTGAACATCAGATGAAGTAATAAACTATGTTTTGTGAACCAGAACTAGTGATCTGGCTGTAGGGGGCCATGGGGCACGAATACTCATTGGAAGGTGCTGGAAGCACCTGGGTCCCTTCAGGTCCAGACACCCATCTGTGAAAGCGTGTATCTTTGGAAGCATCTATGATGAAGTAGGATAACACATGGTGTTATGGCAGAGCATTTGTTGCAAAGCACGAATTGAGATACTTTTTCTGGGAGAAATGTTTTCCTAGGTTTCTTTAAAGGTATGAGTTATGCCTGGTTAGGAAATTTCACTTATATGTGCAACTGGAGAAAAGCAAAAGTTGAGGTAGGAATTTTTATTGCAAACAACGAAAGGCCTGATGGAGTAAGAAAGGACGAGGGGCACCGCGAAGTGCATGGAAAGAGTTTGGAGACTAGAGCAGGGTTTCCACGTACCGCTATTAAACCTAATAATTCAAGGTTCAGAATTTGGGGAAGAAGAATCAGCCATTGTGCTTCAGTGGAAAGCATCCAAGCATTCACTTTCAGAGAGGCTGGGGTTCCTCTGGCCCAGCTTTGATTCTGGTGTTTTGAAGGAGGAATCATACTATCTTTTCCCTATGTGCCAGGAGTCAAAATGGATATGTCTTCTTTCAAAAACCTCTGTGATGATAAATGTGTGCGTGGGATCGGGCTAAGCTGGGAATTCCTTTGAAAGTCTTGTTTCTGATTGCTCTCCACGGCCCAGAGAAGGATACTGGCCACATTTGGGTATGAAACTCTTGAGCCTCGCCATGTTCTCTGGCCCCTGGAGAGTCATGTTCTGTTTGAAAAGAACCGAAAAAATGAAGGCTGTTTTTTCAGTTGGGATAAGAATATCCTTCTCAAAGCAATAAGGGCTCGGTGAGAATAACGGGATCCATATGTTGAAGCTGGCTGCTGATGCTCAGCATATGGGCCAGTGAACCTTTCAGGCAGAAATATGCCTCTGATTCTCTAAAGAATGCCCCAGTAAACTCCAGCAAGGACCATTACTTATGTGACAGATCACAGAGGCGCAGCTCCTGGGCTTTCATGGACCCATTGTTCCGTGGAAAGTGAGCCATAGACATGGATGGAAAGGTCTTGGCTGGCCTCACGATGGATGGCGCTGGCCTGTGGCCCTCTCCGTCAGGCCCTGTGCCCCCCAGATACTAAGGGCCTTACCAGCTCTGGGCTTGCTCTGTTCTGCTAGGGGATGGTGAATCTGAGGGTTGTTCTTCAGGGTCTCCAGATTGTTCCTTAAACGGAATGAATGAAAACGTTTTATCCTCTACTCACAGAGGAAGCACTGCATGATGGAAAGGACATTTACCTGGGAGCCGAGTGGCCTGGGCTCTGCAGCTGCCACAACCACCACCCTGGCTGGCCCTAAATAGAGGTGACCTTAGTGAAGTCACTTTACCTCTCTCTCTCATCCAGAAAATGAGGACGTGGAACTTGGTGCTGGTTGAGACTCTTTCTGGCTCCCTCCATTTAGAACTGAGTGCACCTGGGGGCGCCTGGGTGGCTCAGTTGGTTAAGCATCCAACTTCGGCCCAGGTCATGATCTCACGGTTCACGGGTTCGAGCCCCACGTCGAGCTCTGTGCTGACAGCTCAGAGCCTGGAGCCTGCTTCAGAGTCTGTCTCCCTCTCTCTCTGCCCCTCCCCTGCTCTCTCTCTCCCTCTCTCTCAAAAATAAACATTTAAAACAAATTTTTATTAAAAAAAAAAAAAAGAACTGAGCGCACCTAGCTCTGTCCAGAGTGACAGTAGCAGCCACAGCTAGTGACACTTGCAGAGTGTTGGGTTCCTTTGCAGCTCTGTGTGCTATGTGGCAATTCAGGAAAGGTAGGGGAGCCTTTTCATTGCTCCCAGTGATATTCCATCTAGGCCCCAGATGACTCATCACCACTCAACCCAGTGAGGTTGCCTGAGAGAGACTGGCTGCCCCCGGATTACTGCTCCATTTCTTCCCAACCAGCACCAGGGAAGTCTGAGTAGCCCCTCCTGCCCTCACGGTGGAGCCTTTAGCATCCTCCCCCGGCCGGAACTCTGTGCCTGATTCCTCACTCGTGCCCTGGCTCCTTCTGAAGCCTCTGCTGGTTCTCCATGGTCTGCTTTGTCTGTTGTGTATGGTTAGCAAGGCCCCACCCTCCCCCAGTAGCTGGATGTCCCCAGGCTCCCCTCCCCAGCCCCACGCAGGCCCTTTGATCCCTCGGCTCTGCTGAGCACCATGGTCCTTTCATCACAGGAGCACAGACAGCAGCTCAGCCTGGAGTCAGTCTCCATGGCAACCAGCATTCCCTCCCGGTCTGCTGTGCAGAGAAAATGGCTGTTCTAAGGAAGGGCTCCCTGAGTCTCTATTACCCAGCCTGTATAGTCCAGGCCCCTCCTCCACATCAGCTCTAAGAAGCTACATGCATTGAACCAAATGTCCATTAGCTTTTAGCTTTCAGATTTGGATGGGAGGCAGAAGGAGTTTGAATCCAAATGGATAAAATCATTTTTTCCCTACCCTAAAACTCTGTTTTCACGAGGAGCAGGTATCTGCTCCGAGCAGGTGAATGAGGAACTGAATGGATAGAGCAATCTGTGGCGTCCAGGGGCAGCGTATTTTGTCCTATCGGTGGAGGAGAATGACCGAGTGTGTGGATATTCAAATCAGAATTCTGTACGAGTCACTAGCAGTGACAGGGGATCCCGCAGGACAGCAACGGCAGCATTGCAGAGGAGTGCCTGACTGACTGTAGCAATGGTGTTATGTGCTGTCTCCTCTTACAGAAAGAGGGGTGTGGGTCCCCTCGTCATGAGGCAGGGTGAGCGTTTTGGCATCTTCTGCTTCAAAATCCATCCGGATCATCACAATGAACCCTTTTCCGTAGTCATCAAGCGTGGTGACAAGGGGAGCTGGCAGGAGACCCCTGTGCAGAGGTCTGAGTGACAGGCTTCCCTCATCACACAGCCTTGAGAATGCTTCAGGTTGACATCCAAAAGGAGCTCATCTTTTATTTCTGTGAATCCCAGAAGTGCTTCTGTTTGGAGCAGGAGCGTAGCCTTCTCAAGAGATCAGAAACATGTAGAGCGAGGGTCACCCCAAATTCCCCAGGGCCCTCATACCGTCTAAGGGGAAAGAAATTCCACAGGAAATGGTCCGGACCATGCCCACTCCTGGCTTTGGCATAGGAACTGGGGATTCTTTGGGTGGTGACAAGCTCTCGACCCAGACAGCATCCTCCCTTCATTCTTTCTTTTTTTTTCCTTTTTTTTTTTAATTAAAAAAATGTTAATGTTTATTTATTTTTGAGAGAGACAGAGACAGAGTGTGAGTGGGGGAGGGACAGAGAGAAAGAGGGAGACATAGAATCCAAAGCAGGCACCAGGCTCCGAGCTGTCAGCCCAGAGCCCGACACGGAACTCAAACTCACGAACAGTGAGATCGTGACCTGAGCCGAAGTCCGCCACTCAAATGACTAAGCCACCCAGGTGCCCTGGCCTTCACTCTTTCTTAATGTGAGGTGGGAGACCCTATTTTTGAATGGAAGCTCTGGGTTTTGTTCTCAAAAATCCTAATGTGTGTTTCAACTGGACTTTGTCTTTTGCAGTTTCTCTGCAGGTGGATATTGTCCCCAGCCAAGGGGAGATCAGCGTTGGAGAATCCAAATTCTTCTTATGCCAAGGCAAGTGCCCTGTGCCTCCACTGCGTTTGAGGAAAGGTGGCCAGCAGAGCAGAAGCCCATGGCCTGTGTGTGCTGAACTGGTTGTGCCTGGAACCACCTTGCTGCCGGTCCAGTTGTGTGAGCGGAGAGCCAGGGAAGCCCTCAAGCCCTTTTCCTTCCCATCTCAAAGGGCCGCCCCGACACAGTGAGATGTGTCATCTGGACTTGCACAGGGTGATGGAGGAGGTCTAGGGATTTTCCAAGGAAAGTCTGGGCACAGATTCCCAGAATAGCAAATCACCGCAGATCCCCTGCTCCATATCGACCCGGAGTTCTGTAAATGATGACAAGAGAGTAGCACTGCCTCAGAAATAATGCTTCATTGGGTCAGTGTAAGGCTTATTTCTTAGAATCCGCCAGAACAGGAAAATCCAAGAAGGTCTGAAACTTGCCTGAAAGGAAATGGAGCCCCGGTGTCTCTTTTGCTGTGAGGCTGTGGGTCCCGGGTTTTCCAGATCGGTCGTGAACACCTGTATCCTGTCCCATTGCTCCCCCCGGAGCTCTGGGGTTTGTGGAAGCTGGTGTCCTTGTTTTTTCTTGAGAAAACATGCTCCGTTTCCACAGCTCAGATAGTCGTCAGGAAACGTGGAGTAAAAGCTTTGTGATTAGGCTTTGGGTTCTCTGCTTGTGACATGACTGGGATTCGGATCATGGAAGAACCGGGGACGTTGAGCCCAGCTAGGCGTAGACTGACATCTAGCAAGCGGCTTTGGGCAGGGAGGGGCCTTTCAGTGCAATCGCGATTTGCGCCGGCTGAGGTGCCTCGTGGCCGCCGGATGTGTTCACTCTGGCTTTGCCTTCATTGCAGCGATTTAAATGATCTGGAGATGCAGCCATGGAACCCACTGCACATCTTGCAAATAGCGATATTTATTGAAACCATGATGGGCCCTGAAAGGAAGGCTGCTTCATTTCCATACTAAGCATCTGTGCACAGCCAGGCGGTGTGGCCTGCGGAAGGGCACCGCGCAGAGAGGCGGTGCCCAGAGCCCTTGTTCCGGATCGGAGTTGGAGACCACTAAGCAGTGGCATCTCCCCCTCCCAGGGGGCCCAGGGAAAGGGCGCATGAGTGGTTCTGGCTGCCTTCTTTGCAGCATTTAAGGAGAATAATTTGTCTGTCTGAGGTGGGGTGCTGAAATGACAGGCCAATGTGTGCCGGCAGATGCTAGAATAAAACTGGTTGGAATCCACACACCTAGACTAGCTGGTGTCTCATCCTCCTCTCTGGAGGCCATAATCTAAGCCCTCAAAAATCAGCTGATCAGTTGGCTCAGACTGGCTATGCCGTTGAGCTCCGATCCTAGACACTAACTCCCTTTGCTCCCTATTTTATGGGGCTGTAGCTCCTCATTTAGAGCCCGGCACACAGTAGGTCCTCAACAAATGCCTCTTCTCTTCCCTCCCGGGGTATTCTGAAAAATACTGGCGCGTGTGGTGGTTGAGTTCTTTCCAATTACTATAAGTAGTGTTGTGTACATAACGATCAAGCACAGAGTTAGGCTGTGTTGTGTCCTAATGTACATGGTCTCCCTCCCTGATCATCAAGCCCAGTGATCTCTTGTTCAGTAGCTCTTACTGAGAATCTGCTGTCACCCTGGAGGGGACTTTGTCTTTCCAACTTAAGTGGTTTGAAAATAATCTCTTCCTCTTTAGTGGCAGGAGATGCCAAAGATAAAGACATCTCCTGGTTCTCCCCCAATGGAGAAAAGCTCACCCCAAACCAGCAGCGGATCTCCGTAGTGTGGAATGATGACTCTTCCTCCACACTCACCATCTACAATGCCAACATTGACGATGCCGGCATCTACAAGTGTGTGGTCACTGGCGAGGATGGCAGCGAGTCAGAGGCCACGGTCAACGTGAAGATCTTCCGTAAGAGCTTCCTCTGTCTCCCTCCATATTCCCTGTCCTCTCCTTTGGCCAAAAGACACGTGGGCAGCAGGCAGAGTGGGATGGCAGCAGAGGGCCGGCTGAGGGCTTCTTCCTTTCCACTCCTCAAGTCTTTTCTGAGCTGAGCTAATAGGAGCTCCGACTCCATTTAAGGAGTTCTTAAATGATCCTTGGCCAACTCAGAACTCACAACCCTGGTTCATGCTGACCCCAGGTACCTCCCTCTGGCCTGTGTTCTCTAATTTCAAATTACACAGTTCCCAGAGGGCTGTTAAGAGTTCCCCATCCCTTCCCCAAGTGTTGACTGACTGTTGTACAATTCAGGTTTTCCCTCTTATTTCACTCTCCCCTGCTGCTAATGGAGTCCAGAGGCTCGGTGGGGTGTGGGGGATCATTATCTGAACACTCTGGGCCGCTCAGAGCTGGCAGTTCCCATTGTCATTGAAACCAGGTCTGGAGGTGGCATCTCATTACCTTGTTATCATGCATATACTCGTTGGCCAGTATAATGGTGGGTGACAGCTAATGGAAAGTATTGATTGCCGGAGTATTTACTGCCATTAAGCCTGCCTTTCTTCAGTTCTTCAGAATCCTCACTGCTCTAGGAAGGCTGAGTTTGGGGTGTCAGACAGAGTGGGAGACAGAGAAAGGACTAATGACCAATCATTGTAGACTAGGTGTTCTACCAGTTCATTCCACCTGTGCTTTGTGTTTCATTGGCACTACCCCACATGGCAAGGAACACTTGGGAAGGACTCTTGTTTCCCTCCATAGACCCTTTTCTACACAAAGTATGATAAATTCAGCACTCAGTGAACAGGCATTGATTGCCAAACATTGATGCCATATTCCCCTGATTATACCAGCTGCTTTGCCTGGCGTCTTGGCTACGTATGGGGTGGGACCCTGTCCTGTGCAACTGGGTATATGGATTGAGAGTTGCCCACAACTCAACCCAAGCAGTATGGCTCTAGCGTAAAGCAGTCTGCATGGGAGGACCAGCTGTTTCCCCTCACTCTTCTCTCGCTCATTTTCCAGAGAAGCTCATGTTCAAGAATGCACCAACCCCACAGGAGTTCAGGGAGGGGGAAGATGCCGTGATCGTGTGTGATGTGGTCAGCTCCCTCCCCCCAACCATCATCTGGAAACACAAAGGCCGGGATGTCATCCTGAAAAAAGATGGTGAGGCCTGAATTCCCTGGCAGCTGCCTTTCCCCCCAAGCTCCCCAAGTCCCCTAGGGTTTCCACCTCAGCCAGCCTCTGAAGCATTACAGCCCAGACTCAGATGCCAGTGTCCCCCAACCACATGCACTTTCCAGGTCCTGAATGGGTGTATGTCTGTAGCTTGTCCATTCAGGCACTTGACTTTCTCTCCAAAGAGAAAGACAAATTTCCAGTAGACTTTTGCTCTTGGCTGTATGTCAGAGCCAAGAACATATTCCTATATTTCAGCTTAAAGCCCCACCTGTAAGATTGCAGCTAGGAAAGAGGAAAGGCTCTGTGACCTGCCTGCAGATACCTGAGATCTCTGACTGATCCTTGGATGAACCCGCCTCTTGTCTCTTCTAGTCCGATTCATAGTCCTGTCCAACAACTACCTGCAGATCCGGGGCATCAAGAAAACAGATGAGGGCACTTATCGCTGCGAGGGCAGGATCCTGGCACGGGGGGAGATCAACTTCAAGGACATTCAGGTCATTGTGAATGGTGAGGAGATCCGTTCTTCCTGCTCTCTCCATTACTGCAACCTGGTTCCCCCAAATCATCCTCTGTAATTTCCTCTTTGGTCTATTAAATAAATCCTGTCCTGACTCACATATCCATCTCAGCTGAATCCCTCCTCCTTACATAGCCTCTGGTTTGTTTTGTTTTTTCCTTAATACACTTGTCTTTTGGGTCTCCCTCAACTCCGAGGACTTCTAGTGCAACTCTTGAATGTCCTTCATTGTCTTACGGAACTGGAAACTTTCCCCATGCTTACCGATAAATTCTTATTCACCCTTCATTGTCCTTGATGCTACTGTAATCATGAGGTTAGTCCTCTGGCTCAAAATTCAAAGAAAATATTATAATCAATTCAGTCCTCAGAATAGTCAGAATCCTGGGCCACGGGCTTATTAATTTTAATTTGCAGTGTCACATAAACTCACCCGTGGAATCGATCTGACATTTACAAGATGTTTACAGGAAATTATAATGTCAGTACTAAGAAAATAAGTAAATCGTGGTCGAATTGTTTTGGCTGTTGATATATATTTTTTGCCAAATTCTCCCCCTCCCAGTCCTTTTGGTAGAAACAGTTTGTGCACACGGTTGTTTATGACAATCCCAGAGAAATGTCACTCGGTAAGCTGACGCATTTTGAATTGGTATATTAACCATTTAGCCACTGAGAACAGGCTTTTCCGACTTTTTCCAGTATCAAGAGCCTCCTTTTGGACATCAGGTTCCACTTACCATGGTAGTTGTAAGTTTAATATGCATTGACTAAGAAAATATATAATGATAAATAGCTAGTATAAGTTGAATACTATTTCTTAAGTCGAATACTATTTTTAAATGAATAAAACATACTAATGTAGCTTCTAAAGCTGTATTGTTGGAAAACAGTATTATACGTTGCTATACATATAATGACATTCTGTATTGTTGAAAAACACTGACGCATGCTTGTGGGTGCCTTATTTATTCCGTTTAGAGTAATTATTTTGTACACGTCTGAATTTGGATCCCTCACACTAGCCCTGCAGCTGCCCGGGACTCGACCTCTAGGCTGTGACCCTCCGACCTGAGGTCCCCCGGATGTGCCTCTTCTCTAGGCCACTGGGTCCCTCCGGGTTTTCACAGCCACCCCTGACAGTTCTTCTTTCCTTCAGTGCCACCCACCGTCCAGGCCAGGCAGAGCATAGTGAATGCCACCGCCAACCTCGGCCAGTCCGTCACCCTGATATGCGATGCTGAAGGCTTCCCAGAGCCCACCATGAGCTGGACAAAGTAAGAGACCGGCTCGTGCCTTTTATCAGGGACTAGTGGAGAAGGCAACGCCACAGAGCCTGCTCCATGCTGGCATTTCCGTGGAACGGGTATGGGCTGCTTGGGAATATCAGCTCCGGTGTAGGATGGATCCTTTTCTGCAAGCTTCTCTTGCCTTGTGTGTCAGATCCCTTCATTTTCCGTTTGTGGGACAGAACCAGAGGGCGTGGCCTTGGAGGCCCTCTTTGGAATGTTTGTAGGTGCAGTTTGTAAGCCTTTGGACAGAAACAGAGGTTTGGGTGGAGGAATCTAAGGCATATGTGGAAGTACAGTTTGGTGTGTTGACTGTATGTGAAGACCGAGTCTTCCCCATGGGCTCGATCTGCATTTTATGGAAACTGATTAAAAATAAACATCATACCTCTGTGGTCAAAATCATGGTACTTTGCATTTCTGTACCAATTAGGGACGGGGAACAGATAGAGAATGAAGAAGATGACAAATACGTCTTCAGCGATGACAGTTCTGAGCTGACCATCAGGAAGGTGGATAAGAACGACGAGGCCGAGTACGTGTGCATCGCCGAGAACAAGGCTGGAGAGCAGGATGCATCCATCCACCTCAAAGTCTTTGGTAAGGACAGTTGGGGTCAAGGTCATTGCCCTGCCACGCTTCCTCTGACCCTGCACGCTCAGTCCACCAGCAAGGCCCTGTCCACTCTGCCTCGGAATCTGTTCCGAGTGCAACCGCGTCTGCCAGCTGCCCCTCCCGAGCCCGACTCCATGCCATCCACCTCCTCCCCTGGTCAGTGAGACAGGCTCCCAGCTGGTCTCCCACACCCCACCAGCGCTCCCTTTCAGCCCCTCCCACAGCAGCCAGAACGGCCTCAAGCGCCATTCCTTCCTTTAAAATTCTCCCATGGCTTCCCGTTACAACCAGAATGAAATCCAGACCGAACCTGAGCCGGCCCCTGCCTTCCTGGGCAGCCTCACCTTTCCTGCACTTCGCTCCTCACTCTCCTACCCCTCAGGCCCTCCTTCTGCGGCTCAGACACACCAAGCTTGTTCCTTGTCTTAGGGCCATTGCCCTCAATATTCCTTCTGCTTGGAGTGTCATTTCCCCAGATCTGCTCTGAGCCTCCTTCTTCTCCTGCACCGTTCAGATCTCAGCTCAACCCACCTTCTCGATGAATCCTTCCTGCACTGCCTTGGCTGACACCCCACTAACACCCCACCCACCTCCATCGAGCCCTTCTGTTGATCTTACTGTACCTTCTTCACCACACTTCTCAAACCTAAACTGGTCTCATTTACGTCTTTGCTTTGGGGGTTGAGTCGTACCTCCACTGAGGCTGTAAACTCCAAGATGGTAGAGTGCCAGCTCTTCTTTTCCTCTCCTGCTCTACCTCTGCCACTGCAAGCGGTGCCGGGCTCGTGAAGGCCCTTGGTGATATCACTGATCCCCAGGCCGACTGCCTGTGTCTCCTTGTTTCTTTCCCTGGCCTGTGTGAAACAGTGCCATCAAAGTCATGAGAAGCATCCCTACATCTCTCCTCTCTCTGTCTTCATAAACTCCGTTAGCTTCCATTCATTTAGAGCTGAAATGTGTTTTGACCTGGCCTTGGAAAAAGAATTTGTGGCAGAGAAAGGCTTAGCCCAGTGGCTGTCAACACTGCTCATGTTTTTGGTCCACTGTAGATGGTGCTGCCAGATGCCAGATAGGCAGCTCTTGTTCATGCGTCTCCCAGGTCACTACTGTGTGGGCCCAGGGAACCTGCCTGGGACCCACTTGTTTAGCCTGATCGAGAGCACCAATCCATGTTTGTAAACAAAGAGCTTTGAAACATCAAGTGCTTGTCTGCAATCAGACCTGCTAATCACAGGTGAATCCTCTCTATCTATTAATGACAATTGGGCTTAGAAATAGGTGAGCAGTTTGGTTCATATCAACCGGATATACTGGAGAGTGAAAGCTAATAATGGTCTTGGAAAATATGCTTGATAGTTTTTTTCTCTAATTCTCTTCCCCAGTTATTCTCATTTCAAGTCTTTCCGTGGTATAAAGACAGACGCCTTTGTTGATGTATTCCTTCATTTAACAAATATTTACTGAACGTCAGTGCTGCTGGATAGAGGGGCAACAGAGACAAGTCTGATGTCCCTCTGAGAGACACAAGGAGGGAGAGGAACACATAAGCATATAAACTATAATAGTGCCAGCCAACAACATTTGAGCGTCTGCTATAGGCCTAGCCATTGCCAAGCTTATGAGGATGAATAACGTGCTCTGTGTCTTTATCAATGGGCTCATGGACTCACACTGATGACCAACACTGATATTTTTTTTCTTTTTTTTTTTTGAATTTTATTTTATTTTTTTTTAATATATGAAATTTATTGTCAAATTGGTTTCCATACAACACTCAGTGCTCATCCCAAAAGATGCCCTCTTCAATACCCATCACCCACCTCACCTCCCTCCCACCCCCCATCAACCCTCAGTTTGTTCTCAGTTTTTAAGAGTCTCTTCTGCTTTGGCTCTCTCCCACCTCTAACCATTTTTTCCTTCCCTCCCCCCCATGGGCTTGCTATTTCTCAGGATCCACATAAGAGTGAAAGTTTTGCCATGGCATCTGGGTCTTTCCCTGTAGGACTTATTTCACTTAGCATCACGCTCTCCAGTTCCAATGCTCTACAAAAGGCCAGATTTCATCCTTTTTCTCATTGCCAATGTAGTACCTATTGTGTATATAAAACCACAATTTCTTTATCCATTCATCAGTTGGGATGGACATTTAGGCTCTTTCCACAATTTGGCTATTGTTGTGAGTGCTGCTATAAACATTGGGGTACAAGTGCCCCTATGCATCAGCACTCCTGTATCCCTTGGGTAAATTCCTAGCAGTGCTACTGCTGGGTCATAGGGTAGATCGATTTTAATTTTTGAGGAACCACCACACTGTTTTCCAGAGCGTACTCATAGCTTGGTATTCCCACCCAACAGTGCAAGAGGTTCCTGCTTTCTCCACATCCTCCAGCACTTCCCGATGTTCATCTTGGCCACTCTGACTGGCGTGAGGCAGAGATATCTTGGGAGTGTGGTTTTGATTTGGTATTTCTGATGCCGAGGAGACATTGAGCATCTTTTTTCATGTGCTTGCTGGCCATCTGATGTCTTCTTAGAGAAGTGTCTCCATGTTTTCTGCCCATTTCTTCACTGGGTTATTTGTTTTTCTGGGTGTGGAGTTTGGTGAGCTTTATAGATTTTGATACTAGCGTTGGTCCGATATCAGCCATTTGCAACATCTTTTCCCATTCCGTTATGGCCTTTGTTGATTGTTTCCCTTTGCTGTGCAGGCTTTTATCTTCATGAGGTCCCAATAGTTCATTTTTGCTTTTAATTCCCTTGCCTTTGGGGTTGTGTCAAGTAAGAAATTGCTGCGGCTGAGGTCAGAGAGGTCTTTTCCTGCTTTTCTCCTCTAGTGTTTTGAGTTTTATGCTCTCTGTCTCAGGTCCTCATCCATTTTGAGTTTATTTTTGTGAATGGTGTTAAGAAAGTGGTCTAGTTTCATTCTTCGGTGTGTTGCTGTCCAGCTCTCCCAGCACCATTTGTTAAAGAGACTGTCTTTTTTCCATTGGATATTCCCAACACTGGTATTTTTAATGACAGTCCATTGTAAGGACTTCATAATGGTGATGTGCATGGTGTTTCATAGAAAAAGAGGATGTGTGGTCCTGTGGGACAGAAGTCAGAGAGATTTTCACAAATGGTGTGCTATTTCACAAGCAAGGGCTTCCAGGGTGAAGCAGGGAGGGGGCATGGGCAAGGACCTCAGGCCACACACACACAGGCACAGAGGCAGGAAGGACTCGTGTTACGTTGAATGTGAGCTCCTTGTAGATGGGGACTGTGAACCCCCAGCTGCCAGGACAGTGCCTAGCAGATCTTAGGTGCCAGAATTTGCATAAATGAAGGAATAGCAGTTTATGTGAATGAAGCACATGGTATATGGCAGGGGGAGGAGTCCAGGAATGTGTACCCATCACTTGTCTTGGGAAATTCTTAGATATTAGCCCCAGGAGGTAGTAATAACACCCAACACGAAGCAAGTGCTTGTAGTATGTCAAGCACTGTGTGAAGTTGTGTCTATAAACTGACTCTTACTCCTCAGCACAACCCTGTGAGGTAGATCTCATTATTGTCCTTACTTTACCAATGAGGAAACTGAGCACAGAGAATTGAGTGACCTACCCAAGGAGCCAGGATTCAAACCCAGGCAGTTGGCTTTGAGGTCCCTTCCCTGACAGTGGGAGTTACTACTCTGTGAAACTCAACTCAACACATACTGCCTCTGAATTGCAGATGGAATGCAGATGCTGAAGTTAGTGCGTGCTCTGCCTTGCTCACCATGGGCAACATTGTTTCTCTGTAGAAGTACACTCCCTTCTAACTTGGCTGGTCAGGAGCAGAGCTTGGCTTCTCTTCCAGGCCTCTCTGCTGCGGGGAGCTGCCCTGGGAAGGAGGCGTGGGTAGTAAGTCAGGAGCCTCGTGGGGCCAATGTAGAGGAAAGAGCTGGAGGTCTGGGGAAGGAGGTAACGAGGCAGGGAATGTAGGATGCAGGAACTGAGGCAAGGCACCATTTGTCATTCTGCCCGCCTCTCCCACCACACATCTCTCGTCCTGTGCGCCACACACACACACACACACACACACACACACACACACACACACACAGTTTCTTTCCCGAGATCGCACTGGGAGAACATATGTTAGTCCAGAAGAGTAAATAGAGGAGAAGTGGCCAGACTGCAGAGACAGGTAAGCAAATCACCGGCTCCTAGGGACCCCATCCGAAATGGGAGTCCTCCTCTATGATATCCAGGGGAGGGTTTGCATTGCCTCTTTGGAGTAACCTGGTGCCTCGTGCACACACCCCTTCCCCTCTCCATTTCACATTCTTAACCTCCTCTTCTGCCTCCTTTGGCCTCCCTCGGTTTAGGGGATTGGTAGTAAGGCCAAGGTGGGGGGGTGGCTAGTTAGGGCTCCATCCTTCTTTCCTCCATCCCTCTCCTTCCCCTTGGTTTGCCATGGGACCAGCACTAAGGAGAGAAATGAAGAAACAGGCTCCCCATTGGCAGCAGAGTCGGCAGCAGTGGGGCAGAAGAGCAAAGAAACCAGCAGCTTAGACAGTAGAGAAGCTCGCAGAACTCCCCTGATTCCAGAAGGAAGGCAATTAGTATGTATGGAGCATATCTAAATTAGACACTGCCGTAATTGTACCTTACTGACATCATTTTTTCCTAAGAAGGGGGCACGTTCTAGCATGCCTTGCCCTAGTTATCAGCCAGAAGCTCTTTTTACTAAGTAGTTACATCCTACCTGTCTTTAAATTTGGCAGTGAATTTCCATTGCTTTTCTCCCCATGGGCCCTTCTAAAAAAGTATTTTTGTCTCCTCGTATTCCTATTATGCTCGCATGAATGCTCTTGAGGCCTCATGCTGCCGTGGGCTGAGGCCAGTTCACCAGTGGGTTTGCTTCACTGACCCCTTAGGACCAAAACAGCCCTTGTGAGTTACCACACAGTATAAAGCCTGGAGGAAGGTGCGCCTGGTCATGCCCAGCCTCTCTGTTCAGACAAGGTCTGAACATCCAGAGCCCTCCTTGGGCTGGGGATGCAGGAGTCTGGATTGGAGTGGGAATAGACAAGACCACTCCTTAGTGGTGCGGTGCAGAGCCATGGGCATGCTGGAAGAGGAGAGCCAGTGTGCTTGGAAAACTCCCAAGGACAGGTGTTCTCACAGGAAGGTCCATGGGGAGATGTATAATGGGACAGTCTGAGGCATTAACTCCCATAGCAGCAGGTGGAATATAAAATGGGGATCCAAAGTCAAGGGCCCACAAAAGACATTAATTAAGATGGTACAAGTTCCATCTGAAGATGAAACCTGGAGCTGTTCCTTTAGATCCTGGGGTGCAGAGGGAAATGACCCTGCATCTGTCCCCGTTGGCCTGATGATGCCCACTGTCCCAAGGTAATTATGTAGAGAATCCCTTCTCCCACTCAAGGGTGTCCTGATTTGGACAGGAAATTATATTGGTATCCTATCTCCAAGGCAATATTCTAAGCCTTCAATTACTTCTCGCAAGAGCCTTGCTTCTGTAGTGCAGAGAGGTTAAGTCATCAGTGAAAAGCTTGCCTTCCTTCCCAACAGCCCTCTGTAGACCATCTGAAATTAGCTATTGTTAATAATATTTTTAGTAAGAATACATTTTCCTTTTTTCTAAAGATGTGTACAGTGGGCCTTTTGTAACCCACCAAACCAAACATTAATAGATGTTAACTATACCTTGTCTGTCTTCTGTTAACCTTTTGCTGCCAGGACAAAGTTCAGGGGGTCAGAAAAAGGCCAGCAAACACCGTCTAGGTCACAACATCCATCGAGCTTTCAAGAAGCCAAAATTCAGCCTTCCTATACTGCCTCCAGACCTCAAAACAACTGTCCAGTTCAGTGAATTTGGTCGTTAGGCTGAATTTTATTTATTTTTTAACACTCTTCAATCTGTGATTTTAACAGGGTAGAAATTCAGCTTTTATCTTTGTGAAACCTCCTGTCCAGCTACACTTAACACTTGGTCCATTCGATATGAGTTGTGACCACCTGGAAAATCCTATTTATCAAGATAGACACAAAACCTTCCAAGGGAAAAACCTCACTCAACTGGACTCCATCAATTCCAATTTGTGATCATTTGGCCACATTGGATTGAGATGTGCCTATGTGCTTGCCATCAAAAGATTTGCCAAGCAGGCTGGTTAGTACAGATTAACTGTGGCAGAATATTTGATCTATAGGGTAGTTTTATATAGAAGCAGATATTTGCTACAGAAAATGCACAGCCTTGCCAATGCTTTCTCTTTATTAAAGCAAAATCGAGCGCCTCAACTTGTAGGATGTATATAGGCAGTAGTTCATTAACCTACTTGGGGGTACCGTATGAATGTGAATGTAAAGGAAATGCAGTTCTTTCCAAAATTATCCGTAAATTTGATTTATTTCTCTTTTGTTTGTATATCTAGCCTGGTCTTTCTCCTCCATTAGTGAAATAAGTTACATTTGTGTAGTGTTATCTTTTCTCTTCCATGGAAGGTTTAGCAATTTCAGAGTATAATTGTTTTAAATCAGGAAAAGTCAATTTTCTCTAATGTTTTAGCATTTAACTCAGCTTTCGAATCCTTGTGTTTTCTTGCATTACCCAAAACATTTGGAAAATGAACCCATCTCATCTCCTTCCCATCCCAGCCCACCCCACAGCCCCTAACCCATCACTCACCATATTTCCTTCCTGGAGTCAATGCGAACCCAACTCCGCCCTCCAGCAAGACGCTCAGAGTCATGTCAGCACCTTCTCATCCCCTCTTTTGTGTCTTGCCATGCCTCCTTTGCCCTCTGTTCCCTTGGCACTTCCTGCGAAACCTGCTGTAAGTACCTCTCTCAAAGCTGACCTTCCCCATCTGTCCCCCACCCCAGACCACCCAGTTCGGGACTGTATTAAGCCACATCTGGGGCACGGCCAGAACTTCCAAATTGGTTTTCCCACCTCAAGGTTTCCTCCATTCTAAATCATCTTGAGTTTTTCTAGATTAACCTTCTTGAAGTACAAATGGCCATTTCATTCCTCTCATCAAACACCGCCAGTGGGCCTCCGTCAGCCACCCAAGATCATTCAAAGCAAGTGTTTTAGCCAGGCAGTCATGATCTCTGTGTCTGGGCCCAGCATCGCCTCCCCCTGCCGTGATGTACAAACACCAGCTCCTGCCACACTGCCCTCTTCCCATGTTCTCGCTTCTTTGCTTTCAGTCAAGCAGGTTTCTACACTTGGAATGACTGTCTCTATCCCAAAGTTCCATGTGTTGAAAGTCTCATGGCCCAGCCAGGACACTTTCCCCTCATGAAGGTTCCAGCCAGAGGAGCGATCTTCCTCTGCCCCGCACCTTCTCCACCCACTGCCCTTAGCACTCTTACTCTATGGGATCTTATTTCTCTGGCTGTCACATCAATGTTGTTGTATGCCCATTTGCACACTCCTTGAGGATTCCATTCTTTATCTCCTACAACACCTAGAATAGGTTCTTAACACCTAGTAAGCACATAACCTTCGTTGAATGGGTGCATGTTGTAACTTAAACCCAGAAAGCTGAAAGATCAGATAGACTCATTAACATGTCTTGTCTTTTCAGCAAAACCCAAAATCACTTATGTAGAGAACCAGACTGCCATGGAACTAGAGGAACAAGTCACTCTTACCTGTGAAGCCTCAGGAGACCCCATTCCCTCTATCACCTGGAGGACTTCTACCCGAAACATCAGCAGCGAAGAAAAGGTATGATGTCCCCCAAGAGTTTCAGGGCCATGGGATGCAGGCTCCAAGCAGATTGTGTCTGCCCATGCCCCGTTCTCTTCGATGAGCCCAAAGATAGGATGCAGGCACCAGAGGCCATGCCAGGTCCTGTGGCCTCCGTCCTCCAGCCTGCCTGGCTGTGGCCTCACCAGTGTCCCCTTACAGTGGAAGGACCACAGTTTCTTGCAAAGATTTGCAGTGTTGTGATATTAGTGGGCATGGTCAAGTTAAATGTTCTGGAGAGGAAGGGGGTAGTGATTTTGGATTATGGAGCTATGAGGTGCAAGGAAAAGCCAAGATCCTGGTGCCCCAGCTGTTCCTACCATCATCACAGGGGGCACCCAGGGAAGTGTCGCCCAGAAATAGCGGGGATCAGAATGAGCCCTATTAATTCTTTTCCTTGTGTTTTGTAGACTCATGCTGTACATGCACTATACGCACAAAAGCTTGGTTGCCTTTGTGTCTGCCTGTATTTTCGGTCACATTTGGATATCATTTTGTTCTGAAGGCAAAAATAATTAGCAGTTTCTACATGATGATTATTCCACTGGGTTCTACAGTACATTCACTGAGAGTTTAAGCACATGGCAGCGACCTTCTTGGTAAATTGAAATGACTGGGAAAATTTAGCTTTAAAGCATGTAGATTTATAGGCCCCCGGAAAGCTATCTTTATTATTGACAATATATAAAAATTTAGATAACCTTACGTCATTGCAGCCCTTTGCTGCTGAGTGGGCCAAAAACAGGAGGAAGAAACAGCTTGGTTTCAGAGCAACTTAAACCCTCTTATGGCACATCTCCAGTCTCCTCTCATATACCCTCTAGTAATGGGCTTCATTTTAGTTGGCCAAAATTTTGTCACCTATTCAGGAATAATGGCCTTAGCCTTAAAGAACATTTATAATGGATTGCTTATTGACCTGAATGTCAAAAATGATAGATCTTCACTCTTCTGCCTGCCTAAAGGAAATCCCTAGAGAGGGTAAACTAAAATAAAGTCAAAAAGAGATAGTGTGAAATGCCAGAGCCATGTTTGGGATTTGCATTTGAGGATCTGATTTCTGCCCTGTTAATAGAAAGCAAACTAAATCAAAAGGAATAGAAATTGCTGTTCCAAAAAGCCCATTATTTTTTTTGCAAGTTTTACCTCCACAGTTGAATTCCACTTAACAAAAACTCAAGGAACTGCTAAGTATTTTTGAGACTCACATATGCTGTTCGATATTGTGAAAACCAACCGGATTAGGAAATGTGGTGTTTACTTGGATACTTTCTTTATCAACATTGGAATTAAACCCTAAGCTCAGATTTCAGCTCCCATCGTGTGTGTTACATGGATTGAATGTACATTTCAGGGCTTAAACCACAGGGCTGCTGCTCACCAGATTTTTCTCTATCAGGCTTGTGAGTAGATTTGTCCAGAATGAACCAGTGTATATCGTTGACCTACAGTAAAGGACAGAAATAATATCTATCCCAGATGAATGATGCTTTTAAATTCATTGTCTTTTCTAGGAATAGCTCAACATCTAAGCTATACCAGAAGGGCCATTAAGATTTGTGCCTACCCTAAGTTCTTTAATAGGTGGTCACTTCTGCCTTCTATCTGTGAATTCATTTTTACAGAAAGAGAACAAACAACCAGGCACTAATACACACTCATACTTACTAAGTAGTGAAACCAAAGGTATCCAACAGAGACCATCTCAGGCCAAGTAGGTACTGTATAATTCAGTTATCAGTGTAGATCGCTTGTCTCAACCTGAGATAATTATGGAAGGCCAGCCACATATAGTGCATTGTGGTTCCTTTTACTACATACAGACTGTCTTCAAGTCTACTTGACGTGACATTACTGGAGCATGAGTGAATCGATATTAGAACAAGTCCTCCAGACCAGCCCGTGAGATGACACCAGATTAACACACTTGCCTAAATGAACCCCTGCATATAAAAGTTGCCATTTCTATCAGTTATATATTGACATCAAAGAGGCTTGCTCTCTGTCCTACACTGGGGATAGCTAGTAATTAATAGAACGAAGATGGCCTATTACAGGTGCCGGTTGGACTCCAGGTAATAAATTTCACTTTTACCTGGCAGCGGCCCGTCATGTTCTCCTCCACCTGAAGGTGCGTCGTATACAATCAGGTACCAAGATGATTAGAGTCACTGCAGCATAGAAGTGAGAGAAAACAGTTGGCTTTTTACAATCAGGCTGATACACTAAGCAGATAAAAATAGCCACTTGTGTCTAACCGCGGAGGCCAGGAAGTCTCCTGAGAATTAGACCGTGCAAAATGCTGGAATCATAGAAGGCAGGAAGGGAGGCCCTATTCCAGGTTGTCTAGTCTCACCTGGCACTCCCTTGCCAGCATATCTGCCAGAAAACCCCATGGCCACTCCCTGAAGGGTGATGGTGACCGTCCTCTGCAAGACAGCTGGCCAGCACTGGTGATCGGGAAGGTCTGCTTCCTTGCCCCTTCCGCTCCGTCTTCCCACCTCTGCCACTCAGTGCCCTGTGTGAGGGCTCTTGGATTCTCCACTCTTCTTCCCTTAAACACACTCAGTGGTCTTCCCTGTTTCTGGGGTCATGGGTTCCCCGCCTTGTGCTTTCTAGTGGTCCCAGTGGTCCCAGTCCAGTGACACTCCCCTGAAGTTTTATGGTGCCTAGTGTAACTAATGCAGTCTTCCGTGCAGCTCTGACTCCCTTGATCTGGACACCACCATGCAGTTAAAGTTTCATTGGCCCCTGCAGCGGTTTCCTCATTGTGTTGCCTCATGTGGAGCTTGGGGTCAACTAAAATTCTCAGCTCTTTTTTATCTGAACAGCATTTAAGCCACATAGCCCCTTATCCTGCTCTTATGCAATTGGTTGCTTCACCTAAAATGCAGAATATTATATTTATTTCTGCTAAAAGTTGTGTTTTGTTTATTGCAACCCCATGTTTCTCAGTGGTATCAGTGGCACTTGGGGAGGCACTTCCTTCACTGGGATGGTCCTGTGCATGGCCAGAAACTCAGTAACCAATAGCTCCCTTCCTTCTAGATGCCAGTAGCCACCTCTAATCACCTCGATTACCAAAAATGCCACCCATACAAGCTCTTTCTGGCTTGAGAACCATTTCAGTCCATTCTTCTAACCAGGCAGGTCTGGCTTTTATCAGAACTGTCCTTAAAGGTCTGTAGGTCTAGGGCATTTTGAGCCTCAGGGGCCCCCCTGTTCTATTCACGTATTTTTAAAGTAATGAGGTCTAACACTCAGTGGTGACCCCACTTCCTTCACATGGCCCTTCACAAGCAGTTCAGTAGCCTTCCCCATGCAGCTGTCATCCAGTATCTGTATTAGCTATTGGCTCCAAACTTGTATGAACACTTACTTGAAATATCTTGGTCTAAGTCTCTGATAAAAATGTTGACTCAGACAAGGTCAAGTGCAAAGTCCTTAGAGTGCTACCAGGGCCTTCCTCTGGGTCACTGGCTTGGAAGGCAGAGCATCCAATATCATGGTGCTCCTCATGATTTTGAGGACTTTTGTGGAAGGTTTAGTGATTTCCTTTTTTTTTTTAATTTTTTTGAATGTTTATTTATTTTTGAGAGAGGCAGAGACAGAGTGTGAGTGGGGCAGGGGCAGAGAGAAAGGGAGATAGAACCCGAAGCAGGCTCCAGGCTCTGAACAAGCTGTCAGCACAGAGCCTGATGTGGGGCTCAAACTCACAACGGGGCTTGGACTCACAAACTGTGAGATCGTGACCTGAGCTGAAGTTGGATGCTTAACCAACTGAGCCACCCAGGTGCCCCTCAATGATTTCTTTAATAAAACTGGTTACAATATAAGCTAATTACAGCAACTTGGTCTTTTGATTCATTGCTCAGTTAAGTCTAGTGTTTGTCTAGTATTACCCTTCTTAAGAGGAGAGAAAAGGCTTTCAACCATAGGCACAGAGTTAGTAACTTTCTAATGGAAAACTGATATTCCTCTTCATTAAAAAAAGAAGAAGAAGAGAAAGAAGGGGTGGGGGAAATAAGCAAAAGCTAGTACACTGAGCCTGATTGTCAAAATCTATCTGATCGCATCTCTGGGTTCAGTCCAATCACTCCTTCGAGACCGATTACTATCAGTCTGCTAAGCTTCAGCTAGTTGAGTTGGTTTTGCTCAACAACTGATAACAGGTAGGCTACATTTGGGTCATTAAGACCGTTAGGGTAGATCACCTGTCTGAAAGTTAATCCATTTCTTAGTCTCCATTATGTTGGCCCAAACAAACAAATACAAACAAACAACAACAAAAAAAAAAAACCTTGAAACAAACCATATTTGAACATCATAATGGGTCAGTTTGATCACTGTGTCTGGAGGACATTGTGATAATGCAGGTACAAAGAAAGTTTGCACATCCACATCATTTCATTGCTCATACTACCAAGACTCATTTTAAATATTGCCAGGTATGTGAGTGAGTGGGGCTAACTTCGAGGTACCATTTACATACTGAGCGAGACCTCTGGGTGATGATTTGCACAATCGGTCACTATCACAACACGTTCTCTGTGTGCGTATTTGAACCTCTTATTTGAACATGCCTTTGAAATGACTGGTAAAGAAATGTATACAAAGCCTTAATATTTAAGGAAAAGAAGAGGGGCAAAGAGTTGAGTTCAGAACAGGTAGAAAAAAATGGAACTTCCTGAACCTCGAGTCTTTAGCTGACAGAGTGTCCCACAAATCCCACAAATAAGAGAGACCTTTGAAATTCTGGATCCACTGAAAACTGGATCTTTCTGTCACCGAGGAGAATTCCTCATTAATGCAAACCAGGCGCCCACGTATAAACACTGGAAAAGGTGCCTATGATAAGCAGTTAGAGTCTGGCATATTAGGGGTGTGGGCAGAGGTATAGCAGGATCTACTTTAGGCTAAGTGTAGGGATGCTTCACTGTACATATTCCTGCAGACTCGTATGTGAGGTAATAAAACGTGAATATTAAAAGGACCTGGAACTTAAAATTTCTGGAGCGTGGCTAATCAGATCCTAATTTGTTTTATGTGTGTATATTTGCACATCAGATTGTCTTAAAGTGAACTACACACCATCACCAAATTATCAGGGCCAAGGCATATCCTACCACTCCCATCGGGCACACAGGCAGGAGGTCAGGCTAGTGGAGGCGTTGTGTTACTAGCAACTACTTCTGAATGACACAAAACCCTAGTGATTTGGGAGAGGTACAAGAAGGATCAGATTTGAAAAACAAATAACTCCATATGGGATAGCCCTTTAAAAAAGTCTTGATTCATGCAGCCCTGGCATGTGACAGACAAGCTTCTCATTGGCGGCCACATTTGACATGCTGGCACACCGACACATGGTGCATGGTCCTCTGTCCTCACTTTTTTCTTCATTCCAGCATCACATGACATAATCCAACCTCTCCATCCTCATTTCTCACAAAAGCTCTCTGCATTTAGTGGACTCCTACTAAATGTTTGCTAACCATTTGCATTTCCTGGATTGCATTGCCTTGTCTCTGGTATCTGTTCTCTCCTTTTTCCATCTGAACATCAGGGACAACCAGGCAGTCATGCCATTTAATAAAAAGAACAACTGCAGGTAGGATGTTTTTGAAAACCAGTATGAAAATGGAAAAACTCTAAGTGTAGGAGTTCCCCAAGTGCCAGATATAAAATATGCAGACGTGGGTAGGAAGACACCCAAACCTCTATGCTTCTGAGCTGACTCCCTCCTCTGTGAATGCCATGTTTGATGTCGATGGTGCACGCTTGAGCCTGCATGCCATCCGGGCATTCCTCTGCCCCTGAGAACTGACTGGAGCCTGCCGCAGCACTCAGAATTTGGTGTCCTGGAAGTTTCCTGATCGACAACTTTAAGCACTTCATACTTAACCACTCCTAATGTACCTCTCTCCTCCTTTTTTAGTTCCTTTTTAGAAAATATAAACGTGATTTTTAATAGGATGCATGCAATGAATTATAAAATGCATGAGCACAAAATGGCATTCGTATTTTTGTGATAAGCTGTCTAATAGAATCCAAAGGAGGAAACATACTCTATGAGTATCTCTAGACTTTATAGTCAGAACTAATAGCAACATGAAATAACTACGAGAAATATTCAAGATGTTCTGGAACAGGAGCAGTCTGCTGTGTCTGCTGGTACCCCTGTGTATGTCTACCAAAGATCAGGAAAGCCATCTCCTTTGAATTATACATCTTAATGTGCATAAGGGGGTGGGGAAAGCTTAACATAAGCTAAACCCTAAATTCAGTTGGGTAATAAACACACCATTGAAAGTGAGCCTTGGAAAAAGTTCTGAGTTGAAAAGAAGCTGCATGTGCACGGAATGCAGTGTGATACATCAATTCTCTGAAGCAACATGTTGTAAAATTTTACTGCTTTCTTGTTGTGTTTTATATCTTGTTCTCTCCAGGCTTCGTGGACTCGACCGGAGAAGCAGGAGGTATAGCTTACCTGACCACTAGCCAGTCTTTAGTTTCGAAAGCATCGCAGTTTAACTCGCCATTACAGTTTAATAACCAGACATGCTAAACTAATTAGTCATCTAGTTAGATTAAAGAATAGGTCAATAGTGGTAGACGTTACTTGGCAATAGTGTCTTAGGATGAGCAAGCAAGCTGTGTTGGGAGTGGATGAACAAATCCTTATTACTTCTTAAAATTGGATCTTATTCTCTTGCTGGTGCTGGTAAAATCACCTCCAGGTAATTATACTTACAGAAATAAATCGCTCCAATTCCCAGGCCAGGCATTTGCAAATGATGAGATTTTTTTTTTTTTTTTTTTTTTTTTTTTTTGCCTCTCACCTGGTTGATGTGGCTTTGGGTCATAAAGTCACAGAGTTAGTGTCTAAAAACCCACTCAGCCCTTTCCAGCTCAACTCATCTTGTTGCTCGCTTTATTCTAGAATGATCGGTCCTGGTAAATGATCACATCCCATTTCATGTCACAGCAATGCAGATGGCATCTCTCCTTGGTATCCCCAAATTGCTAAGCATACCTATGTTACTTTCATAGAGAATTAAATTTATTAGATTTGCATGATTTGGCACAAATGGTTTTAGAAGTCAGTAGCATTTAGCTTTTGAGATTTCTCTGACTGCTTCCTTCCATTTGGGTAATGTAGGACCTTGTTTGAAAACTAAAGCTAAATATTAATCTTTAGATTTTAATGTTACACACTCAAGACCCTAGTTACAATCAGGCATATCTTTGTTTCAGTGATTCGTGTAAGTAAAAGATAGCAAAATAAAAACTAGTATACTTTAGATGAGGTTCAAGGATCGAATCCATAAATATTTTTTAAAAAATAGCTTTTGTCTCTTCTCCAGAGGAAACTTTAATATTTTAATACTACAAATGTCGAATATGGCAATCCTATACACTGTGTTTTAATTAGGTAACTCTTTCCTCTTAGTTTTCAGAAATGATAATTATTCGGAACACATAACTCATGTGTTCAGATCGTGGCTGTAAATGTTTAATGCTGTTTAATATTCAAGAGTTGACTGCCCATCCCCGGGCACTGATCCTAGTTTCTACACATGAACACACTGCCGTGATCAAATCCAGTGTACAATAAGCTGTCTTTGTTTCCTACCTTCTTCCATGTCATGGGGGACCATAGTCAGGTGCTCGTCTCGCTGAAATGCCTCCCTCCTGTGGCACAGGGATCACTTAGTGCTGTCCCAGCCTGGCTGTTTTATTGCCCCAAAGTCACAGACCCATTGGGATTGGGGACAGGAGAGAAGAGGGGTTAATTATCAGCCACTCCTCAGTAACTACAGATCTCATTCTATTTGACCTTCTACATCTTCCCCTGTCATTCTGATTTAGACCTGGCTGGAGGGGGACGTGAGATTTATCAGGGAGCGTTAAGGGAGGTTAAGAGAATTATTATTATAAGTGGAAGTCCTAGGTTTACTCCCTGGAAAGCAGACAACTCACTTCCGTTTTCCAGAAGTATCCTTATCTTGAGTATCTCACTTTGGACATAATTGACTTTCAAGTGAGTGCCACCCCTGGGGCTCAGAATTTCCTCCTGTTTGTCTCATTCAGAGATGAAGACCATAAGTCCAGATGAGCTCCAAAGAAGGTTACTGGGTTATGGCCAGTTTCGTTCTGTAAGCTCTGAGAATTAGCACTTGTACCTAGAAGAAGGGACACAAAAATGTTCTGATGAGAAGAATAGTTGTGATGGCCCTTCATGCTGTTTTTGCAAAACAGGGTTTTCTTGTCACAGGTGTTTTTCCCTTCTTGCCCAGAGATCATCTGCTTCCTCTGCAAGCCTGGACTTTATCAGCATGACTCCTGGTCTGGATGGCTTGTGGGTAGCAGTCCCTGACTTTGTCCCTGTGTGAGAGTCAAACATTTCAGAGGGAAACAGTCTAATTGCACTGGAGTCTATCTGCTTCCCCTTGGAGGGAGAACTGGGCATCTGGCAAATTCCCATCATCAATCCTGTCGCGAGCCACTGCAAAATAAGAATTCTCTGTAGAGGGCTGTCTACTGGTCTGTTGACAACATTAAATGAGAAAATTTTTCCAGAGAAATTTAGAACACATAGAAGGGGGGAAGAGTATAGCTGTCAATGAAACCACTTCCCAAGCTTCTCTTCAACCTTTTTCTAGCATATTCTGAGTAAAGACTGCTCATGCCCTGTTTCATTGTGATTTGTTACTGTCCTACTCTTAGTTCCGTGACTCTCTTTTCATCTTTTGCTGCAATATTTCTTCCATTGTGGAAATATTCTCTTGACTTCCCAAAGATCCAGTCAGTTTTCCATGTTTGTGGGTGCTGGGCCCAGGACAAGCTGTGCCTCTATGACAAACAGTCATTGCTCAGCCACTGGCTGGTATCACTAGCAGCTGAACCTGTGTTCTGACTGATATAACCAAAAGGGTGGGGTGGGGCAGGGGGGAGTGGACCTCAAATCCTTTCTGCCTTTGTCCTGCTTTGTTGGGGACAGACAGAAGTGACAAGCAGATCACGTCAGCTCTTTAGAGATACTTGCTGGTGTGGCTTCATGTTTTTGATGACACTAGATCTGATGGGTTAAAATTTATATGGCTCATGGGAGTCACCACTCGGGAATATTGGGACAACCCTGTCAGCCCACAAGATATGGGGATCCAAGGACCCAGTATCTTCAGCAAACCAGATGTCTCAAGGCTTACTAGCCAAGTGCTCCACATCTGTCTGTTGTCATCTCTCACTAATGTGTGGCATCTCCTCAACCACTTAGCCTGGCAGACTTATGGTTCAGGTGGAGTTGAGAGCTATGGACATCTGGGCACTCCTCTGTGAGTGGGGTGGCCCTCGCAGAGGTAGGCAGTGATGATTTTGTTCAGCACTCTGCCTCCTTGCCAGCAGTGGTATTCCAACTTCCAGATATGAGAACCTCAGTGGGGCTTAAATGCCTGAGATGGATTAGGTCCATTAGTGATGGGCAGATCTGTGGAGACTGCCCAACAAGGCCAATGGGACCTTCCTTTTGAGCTGCCTAAACTGGCTGCTGTATGACATTGCAGTTCTGAGTCCCAGGCTTCCAAACCAGCATGTCAAAAGAATCTGAAGCAGGTGTTCGATTCCCTAAAGGCTCAACCCCATGGATGACAGATGCCATATGCAGAACACTCACCTGTCCATCTCCACAGAATAGCATACGCTGGAGATAAGAGTGTAGCCCAGCCTATGAGGAGCAAGACTCCTTCTTCAGATTACCAACTTTCTTGAGGATTTGAACTTGGGCAACATGCCCAGACTAGGCCAGCAACCATTTTAGAGTGTCAAGGCAAAGGCCCCTTGGAAATATTACAGTACCCATTGCCTAGGGGTCATATGCTTATTCCCTTTTTGACCAGTCACTGTAATTCCAGAGACTCAGGAAGCCAACTGTGGTCTTAGGGGCTAGAAAATGGTGGTGAGTGTGGTGTCACGGATCCCAGATCTGCCTGAGACTCTGTGCCACTGTCCCTGGAGAGAAGACCCAGCTACCCCTCACCAGCTCCTGATCATTGAGTTGTCGGACTTTCTCTTGAATGAAATTATTTTACTTTTAAGCATTCAGGAAAGTGAGGTATCTGCAGAAATATAGGTTTCTTGCATAATTTCTTGCAGTTGGCACATTCGGATTTGCCATTATGCGTGCCTGCACTGTGGAACTGGCAGACGGGCAGACTCCTGGGATGAAAGCATAGGGGTGCAGGTTTCCCAGAATCCCATGGAGCAAGGCCGCTGCTGCTGGAGTATCTGCTAGCCAGGACTTTCACTTCCATTTAAGACATGCCACACAGGGTTGTCTTGGGGCGGCGGGTGGTGGCGGCGGGGAACCTTGGTCGTCCTTGCCCCAGACCAACCTTGGCACAGAGTCCAGGCTGCTTGACATAAACTTGAGTCCCATTTTCTATTTTGGATACACTCAGGTTCCCGTGGTGCTCTCCAGAGCCTCCCACACTACCAGGTACCTAAAGTGAAAGTTAGGCATTGGCACGATTTGGGGAGAGGATGTGAGACTGGTCCCAGACGAGGGGTGGCCCGGTCTCCTGCCCTGCCCCCCGCCCTGCCTCGGACTCTGACGCTCTCCCTTCCCTCCTGGCAGACTCTGGATGGGCACATGGTGGTGCGCAGCCATGCCCGCGTGTCGTCTCTGACCCTGAAGAGCATCCAGTACACAGACGCCGGAGAATACATCTGCACTGCCAGCAACACCATCGGCCAGGACTCCCAGTCCATGTACCTCGAAGTGCAATGTGAGCAGTGACTGGAAAAACGAGGGGAGGGGGCCGTGTGGGGTCAGGATGAAAGGGGAGGACAGCAGCCAGGACCTGAGCTGCACCCTGCCCTGGGCCCTTGCAGACCTCTGTCCCCAAGTTGTCCCTCCCACCGCCCCAGGCTTCTTACAGGCCCACAGGCGCTTCCGTCTTCCCACGCAGCTCCCAGGACTGCTACACCAGCCTGGGCTTGATCGTGTCCTGGAGCTGGGTCTGCTTCAGGGCACACACACCCTGCCAGGGCCGGGAGACAGGGTGCACGGAGCTCCTTGGTGGTGGTGGTCTTCCTGATGGGCATTGCTGTTCCTTGCAGATGCCCCGAAGCTGCAGGGCCCTGTGGCTGTCTACACGTGGGAGGGGAACCAGGTGAACATCACGTGCGAGGTATTTGCCTACCCCAGCGCCACAATTTCATGGTTCCGGGATGGCCAGCTGCTGCCAAGCTCCAATTACAGCAATATCAAGATCTACAACACCCCCTCCGCCAGCTACCTGGAGGTGAGTCGGGGCGGGGACAGGGGAGGGTGGAGAAGGCACAATCTGACTATGGATAGGCTGCCCTCTGCAGCTCAAATCTTCTCTCTTGCTTCTCCCACGTGTCCTGACCAGGGGAGCCATCGGTTACAGAAGAAACTGAGTCTCAGCCCTGCTCCCCTCTCTCTCCCTGGGACTAGGTCACAGCCTGGGAGGCCGAGCGTGCCTCTCACTAGCCCCTTGGCGATTCTCTCTGATTTAAGGCTGGGCTGGAGCTAATCGTTCATGCTTTACTTGTTCTGTTCCTTACAAATTAATTCAGTAAACAAAGATCTGAATCAGTGACCATTCTGTGGGACACTTGTAACCCACAAGTTCCTCCTTTCCAAAGGTGACCCCAGACTCTGAAAATGACTTCGGAAATTACAACTGTACTGCAGTGAACCGCATTGGACAGGAGTCTTTGGAATTCATCCTTGTCCAAGCAGGTGAGCACCCCTGATGGCTGTACCAGCCTTATCTTTGCTGGCCTAGTCCATGCCCTTCGGTGACGCTAAGAGAGTAAAAGAAGACAGGGTAGCCAAAGACAGAGGGTCAGGAAGCAAGGAGCCTATGGAGGTTCAAAGATGTCGGCACGGCGCTTGTTGGGAGGGAATGATAGGGTGAGGCGGGCTGGGGAACGGGAGACGGGTGACAAGATTCCCAAGAATGAGTACACACGAGAGACATGCTTTGTGACTGGGAGTCGCGTCCTGGACCTAATCGGGCTCACCTGGGTCTCCATATGTGCCCTCCCCACAGACACCCCATCTTCACCGTCCATCGACCAGGTGGAGCCGTACTCTAGCACAGCACAGGTGCAGTTTGATGAACCAGAGGCCACAGGTGGTGTGCCCATCCTCAAATACAAGGCCGAGTGGAGAGCAGTGGGCGAAGAAGTGTGGCATTTCAAGTGGTATGATGCCAAGGAGGGTAAGTGGGAAGAGTCGGCGTTTCCTTTAGAATGATGGGTTTCTCGGTGCTGGGCAGACGCTCACCCCTGGTGCCGGGCCTCTGACTGCCCACCCGGGTAGAATGGCACATCGCTCTCACCTGCTGAGGAAGCCAGATGCCACAGCCTGCCATCCGTCCGTGTTCCTTTGCCGCAGCACCATCCCTGTCCCTCTGGAATTCGGGCACGGTCACATCTCCTCTGGAAGTGTTGGCCTTCTGTCCCCTGGTACGTCAGAACCTGCTTCTCAGGACACGCCAAGACGAGACCATCTCAAGCACGCTCCAAGCAGAAGCCCTACTTAGGTGCTAAGCACAACTGGATGAGTCCAGACCGCCCCTGCCCTGCACCTGTGGGTGATCCGGGCTGGGGCTTCTCTGCCGTCACCCATCCATCTTGCTTGGTGTACTCAGGGGCTGCCCTGTAATGATGGTATTAACCACACAACAAATTGCCAGAGAGACAAGTCTGCTCTTCAATTCATCCTGTGATAGATTTCCAAACTAAAATTTTAAAAATGACCCTTGGATGCCTACAGTTTGAAGATTTTGAGCCTGGACTATTTTGCCCTGAAGACCGAGTATACAACCGTGTGTAACTCTCCCTGCGGGGTTTATACGCCAGTGAAGTACTTTTTGTTTCCGTAGAAAGTTTTAATCCCGGTCCGGTATGTGGTAACAAGGGTGGCTGCCTTCCGGCCCTTTTTACTGAGAATTTATTTCACCAGGTAGCCTCCATCACTCCTTCAGCTTTTGGGGGGTGGGGAACCTGAGGAGTTTCTGGGCTGTCCATTTGGAGCCAAAAGAAAACAATCTCTTTACCTCGCTAACTTCCCTCTGAAACCTCACACCAGCTCTATGGCAAGTCGACCCCATGTGAAAGTCCAACTGGCTTTGTTTTCTTTTTTTGGTCATTGCTACAAGCTGGATTCCACCCTCCCCTGCCCTTTATATATATATAAATTATATATATTATATATATATAATTTATATATATATTATATATATAAATATATATATATTTAATTCAAATATAATCAACAGTCCAATTCTATTTTTGTTGTGGTGAAATATGTGGAATGTGAAATTTACCATTTTAGCCATGTTTAAGTGTGAAGTTCAGTGGCATTAGGTACCGTCACGTTATTGTGCATCCCCACCATCCGTCTCCAGAACTTTTTCATAATCCTAAACTCAGTGCCCGTTAAACACTAGCTCCCCATTCCCACCTCCCTCCAGCCCCAGCAACCACCATTCTACTTCCTGTCTCTGTGTAGTTGACTCTTCTAACTACTACAGATGAGTGGAACATGTCCTTCTGTGTCCGGCTTACTTAGCCTGATGTCATCAAGGTCCACCTACATTGTAGCACGTGTCCGAGTGAGTTTCGTTCCGTGTTAAAGCTGCCTGAAACTCCACTGTATCAGTACCACACCGTGTGCGTCCACTCGTCCATTGATGGACACTTGGGTTGTTTCCTCTCTTTGGCAACTGTGAACAGTGCTCCTCTGAACATGGGTGGGCAAGTATCTGTTCCACTTCCTGCTTTCAATTCTTTTGTGATATACCCAGACGTAGATCACATGGAAATGCCATGTTTAATTGCTTGAGGACCTGCCATGCTGCGTTCCACAGCGGCTGCGCCATTTTACTAATGGGCTTTCCACCCTTTGTGATCCTTCTCATATTCTCGCAACAGCCAACATGGAGGGCATTGTCACCATCGTGGGCCTGAAGCCGGAGACGACGTACGCGGTGCGGCTGGCGGCCCTCAACGGCAAGGGGCTGGGGGAGATCAGCACAGCCTCTGAGTTCAAGACGCAGCCAGTCCGTAAGTAAAAGCAGCTGCCCTGCCTCTTCCCCATCCCCACCCTCTTCTCCTCAGGGGCAGAGGGGACCCTGAGCTGCCCCATCCATGGTTTGGATGACAGCTTTTGTCTTTCAGCTTCCTCTGCTCCAGGAGGTCCCACCTCCTAGTTCCTTGGCCCTCAGTGATGGCTGATGCCCAGCCCCTTCTGTTCTCTTCCCCAAAGTGCCTGGTGACACTGTCACAGTAGCGGGTCCCTCCTGTTAGAATAACAGCCAGGGAGGAAGCCCCTGACACGTTGTAAAGGGAGCGGGCAGAGACGCAGAGGCATGTTGTGGAGGGATTTGGGAGACACTGCTTTTGGACACAGGTCACAAAGGCCCTAAAGCACCCCGTGACTTGAAGGAAGAGGGTAAAGACACTGATGGTTCGTGTAATTAGGCGTGGGATTTTTGCCACAGCAGAGAGATGACGTTACGGAAATGCAGGGGCTGCTGTGCGATGTATGTGCAGGAGCAAGAGCCCAGCAGTGCACGAGGGAAAAGGGTGGCTGAGGCCCCTGACTCTTCTGCTCCTCCTCCCTCCCGCCAGGAGCGCGCGTCAGGGTCTCCCTCCCTTGGGGCCTCTTTCCAGAGAGGCGCTTCTTCCTGATCCATTCAGGATGGCACCGCTTTCCTCCATCATTCCCTTTTCCCTCACCCCTGCCTGCCTCGCTTTCCCCGCTGTCCCACAGAAGGCCAGGCTCTGCTGATATCCCTCCATAGCCCCAAACCTCTGGGAGGACCGTGCATCCTCCCAGCTATAGCAGGTGCAGCACAGCCCGACTCCTTGAGCGGTCACAGGGATCCCTGGGTCCTCTCTCGTTCCTGGGATGAAAAGCCACGCAGGGCAATCCCTTGCTTCCTTCTCTTTGAAGCCAGAGGCTGGCAAGCAGTCCCCCTACCTTTTCCAGAAGCAGGCCTGTCTCATCTTCTTTCTGCAGGAACTGCTTCTTTCTGGATTTGAAATAACATGATAATTTGAATTTCCAATTCCATGTGCTGTCCTGAGTCTATTCATTTCTTTTACATCTTTTTTTTTTCCCCCTTGGGTCTGTCTCTTGTCTTTTCTTATCGTCTGTGTTCCATCCATGGGAAATGCAGACAGCCCTCTTCCACGTAAGTGCCTCTTCATACCTCATTATCTGTTTCTATAGTGTTAACATCTGCTAGTCCTAGTTCTTAATTTAGTTCTGGTCCCTTTTTCGTCCCCTAGGCTGAAGTAGATGATGCTGTCCGGGCCCTAACCACACTGACCTTGGTCTAGTTGTGCTCCTGTTAATGTCTGTAGGTTCCTCCAAGAGGCTAACACTCGTCCTGTTGTAGAGCATGCAATTTCTGTGTCCTTCGAAATTGTGTTGATTAATTTCTGTGTGTGATGACTCCCCGTGGCAATGCCGCTGCGCGCCAAGCTAAGCAAGGTGGGTCTGCAGGGGGTCTCTGAGTAACACGCGAGAGCACCGCCTCACCTCCTGCCAGGATGCCAGAGAAGTGACCGCAGCCACACCAGGGATTCAGAATCCCTTCACAGGGAAAAGCAGCTGAAAGGACTTGCGCTTTTGCTTTGAGGAGATAAAAGACTCGGGCTCGTAGCGCCTCCCCTTTCTGTCTGTGGCAGCTGGGGGGCTCTAGGAGGCCCAAGCAGCAGCCGCAGTTGTAAAGGGTAACATGAGCTTTGGCTCCCAAGTCACAGGTAGGTGCTGCAGGCAGCTGCTGGGGTTAAATCCCCACTTGCAGTCAGTTGTGTTCTTTAGAGGGAGGTTATTTGCAGTGTGCATTTCCACATTTCCACGTTTGGAAAAGACTGACCAGCTCCTTAGTATCTTCACTGCCAAGTATATAGGGAGGGGAGTTCTCCGTGGGAAGGACATGTAAGCTGTAAATAGTGAACATAAGGAGCAAGGGCTACAGAAGCCCCCCGCTCCACGGTGGCGGGGGCGAGGGCGGGGGCAGGGGTCTGATCTTGGGCTATAAAATGCCCCCCAAGCCTCACTCCCGCTGACGCTTGCCCCTTGCTTCCTAGGCTGAGTTCAGTGTTACCCAGAGAGTCTCACAAGAAAAGGTATTCGGAAAACTGCACACTCTTTTCATAAAAAGCTCCTAGCTCCTGAAAGGCACTCAGGGAAGCTTATCTTTTTAAAATTTATTCAGAAATATTGCAGCCACAGCAGAAACTAAGTAGCTCAGTGTAGGCGTTCGGAGATTTTCAGCAAGTGCTGAATCCATGATCTCAGCAGACTTGGTTCCTGAATGAACCGGTTCTGGAAAGAGTCAGGATTGGGGATTGGAGTGGTCAGGTTAAGAGTGACAGCTGTCAGCTCCCGTTGGCACCCAGGCCCCGAGGAAACTCAGAAGGGGCAGCTCTGAAGGTGAGAGCACTTGCTCCTGGATCTTTACTCTCAGTTTGGGCTTCTACTCTTCCGAATTTTGACCAGTAAATGAATGTGACTTGGGTACATCATAGACAGGAAGGCTGGGATGAGGCCTCCTTTTGAGTTGCTTACTAGTACTTGGGGTTTGAGTACCGAATCAGAGTAACTGGGTCTTAGAGTTCAAAGCCTGTAAGTGATTTTCATTCATTGCCAGCTCAGTCCTTGTAAAGGTAAAGAATTTCTTAAACAGATGCTATGTTTTAAAAGTCAGTGTTTAATTTAAAAAAAGAGAGAGACCTCTAGACCTCATTGTTTGTTATCTGCTAGTAGGAAAGTGGGTAATTAACCCAGATTCCAAGAGGCCCTTTGGAAAATGGTGTGGTCAGCTGTCCATTCCAAGTAGGTCATGAACGATCCAGCAGCAGGCATTGCTAGAGGCATGCAAAGTCAGTTTTCTCAATTATCTAATAAGTTATGGCCTAAAGAATTACAAAAAAAAAAAAAATCAAACTCCTCTTAGATAAGAAGAGTCGTGGCCCAGCCTTAGCGTTGAGTGCCTTTGTCAAGAACTTGAACTGGATAAGAGGCAGCATACATGTGAGAACATCATACGCTCACTACAGTTGGTTATTATGGTATTTCCTGTACCCTCATGACCTTCCTAGAGGGGCTGAAGGGAGGGCCTGGCCCCAGGGGTACCCAGACCCATCCTGAAGAAGAATACAGTTGGAAGGGCGACTGCAGCATCTATCACGCCTATGACAAAATCACTGACTGACTGCTACTGGCAAGTGAGGGCACGTTTTAGGAGGGACTTCTCTGAGTTCTCCCTCCCTCAGAAGGCACAAAGCTTGTGTGAAATCAGCCACCAGTTTAGATGCATGCTTACACCAAGCCCAAGAACCAGCAGCGTTGGTTTCTGACACCGGCTCGTCTCGCCTGTTGGCAGTGCTTTCCCCTCCTATAATGTTGGGGTGCACGTGGACAGCCTGAGCCCGTGATGCTGGAGTTAGGCCCTAGGTGCACACTCACCCCAAGGGAGAGAAGGTACCCAGGGTCAACATGCCGTCATGCTGAACAGAGAGAGTCATGGCTGCCAGACACCCTACCCCATCCTCCATCCCCCACCCCCTGGTTAGGAGGCAGTAGGTGAAAGCCAGTGCACTTTACATTAGTTTATCTCTTGAAGTTCCTTGAGATGTGCCAATAATGGGGTTGCTCTCCTGGCTCCCTAATAGACTTACCCACCTTCGGGGGCATGAACGTGCCAAAGCCACAGGTAACCTCAGAGAGCTCCTGCTTCTGAGCTGCCATATTAGAAAGCATGGTTCACCTGTTTGAAGATTCCTTTGTGTCCCGTTCGTACATGTGTGTGAAGGTAACGAGGCAGCTGTGACTCCAAACAAGCAGATAGAACTGCAGCCTGGAAAGATGTCCCTGCTTCATGTCTTTTTAGGCCAGATGTCTGCGTGTTGTCACGGTGGAAAGCTCACAACCTCCGTTTGCCTTGGGAGGGGCTGCTTCCCTATCAAAGCTGCCGAGGCCCTAACCCGATGATGTGACATTTGAGCGTGCATCCTGTTCTCTGTGATTGAGCCACATGCCTTCAGAATTTCATTGCCTGAATGTTTGCCTCTTAATTTGCTTCTGAACTGTGAAGCAAAATAGACCATTTCTTTCAGGGTATACAGATTATGAATGAGTCTCTCCTTTGTAAAAGAGGCATCCTGAGATGTTTGTTTTCACAAAATTTTGCCCCCTAGATGGCACACTGCAAGTATAAATTAAACGTATTCTAATATATTGTGTTTAAAACAGATAAAACTCCACCCCTTTTCCAGAATAATATGGACAGGTATGCAAACATTTGAAGCCAAAAAAGTAAAAGAGATACACTTTCACATGAATTAACCAGACCATCAAGTCACCATGAGTTAGTAGGCCATCTTGCTCTGACTCCGGTGACCTTGTACTCACGTGGTTTAATGAGGTGCCTCATCTGGGAGGGAAAGGGAAGATCAAACCATGAGTGCCCAGGCAGTGTTGGAGATACGGTGATGTTTTTTCAGATTTTCATCTAGCTCCCAGAGGGAACTTTGTTTTGTGATTGTTGATGGGACAACCTCAGAATATTTGCCAGCAGAAAACTGGACATCTGTTCAGTGTCCAGGATGCCTCAGATGAGCCCTCGCTGACGGTCCTCCAAGCCGAAAGTGGGGTGAGCGTTACTTATCTAGTTCCAGTCTCTTTAGCATCCCTTTGTCCAAGAGAGAGCGAGAGTAAGGCTCACAGCAGCATCTGGAGAACCCGTATAGGGTTTTGGAGGGCAATGGTGGTTAGAGTATCATCCAGATGCCAAACAATCCTGGACCTCGCCCAGTAGTAAACTTTGAGTAGGAAGGTCATTTCTGTGTCATTGGGACATTGAGATTAGAGAATGAGGCTTACAGGCTTTGCTCCACGCACACGCCTGGAGTGGAGACATCGGCCTGTACAGGAGCGCATATGGACATCTAGCATGTGAAAAGCCAAAGCCTCCTTTTTTCCACGTTCGCCTTAAGCCGGGCTCCAGGTTCCCTCTCCTCCTGACATGTGATCGCATGGAGACGGCTGGTCCTGCTGAACCGGCTGTTTGTTTCAGGCGGGGCTGCAGGCCTCTGCTGCTGCTCCTGGCCCCGTCCCTTACCTGAACCCTGGGGCTTGGCAGAGACACAGGCTTGCAGTCCGAAGTCAGAGAGCCCTGCTCTCCGCTGGCCCGCAGGCCACCTGCCCTCATGCATGGTGTTTTTCCTCCTTGCTTTAACCCGCTTCAGCTCCTGCCATTGACACCCTTGGGTGACTCTTCCATTTTTTTTTTTCATTCAGTATCTGTGCCTCAATGAGCTTTTTTTTCTTCTCTTTTTTCTTTACCTTCATGTTTCTTTCCTCAGCGGCTCCTACTAGCTCCTCCACCCCCGCTCCATTGTCTCATCCCAATAGTGAGTATCATTTTCTTCATCCGTCTCTCCGCAGGCTGCTTTTCCACCAGCCACGGTGGGTCTGCGTAATGTTATCTCCTTCACCAGGTGATAATTCAACTCTGTTGGCAGAAAGCAGCACTAGGTTTTAGAGAAGCAAATGAGAAGAGAGGAAGGCACAGAGCGTCCCACATTCGCCACCCCCCGCCCACACCCCCAGATGGAGAGTAGGCAAGTGACAGGCATTGCTCTGGACTGAAAATCGTGCAGCCAGGCTTCCCCGGGGCCCATGCAGCCCAGCCAGGCCCTGTCCTCAGGATTCTTCCCAGGCTGGACTCAAGCTGACATTCGGAGAAACCAAAGGAATTTGCCAAGGAAAATATCTGTTCAGCAGGGTCATAAGAAATGCTTTGGGGTGTTGTGTTTTCACCCTTCATTTTAATTGGCACAGTTGGATTCAGACACTGAAATTAGATAGCGAGGCTTGTAGCTTTCACTTTCTCCATAAATGCATACTTGTCTCGTAAATATTTGTGGGAAAATAAACAGTGTCTGCTCACAGATGTGCCTGGCCGTAGGCGCTCAGGCAAGTTACTTAACCCTTCACAAGTGAGCCTTGTTTTTCTCTTCCATAAAATAGGATGAGTAAATGGCCCTCCTCCCGTACCACCCCCCCAAAAAAAAACATTGTAGCTCTCACCAAGCTGTGTTTGCCCACCCAGAAGCAGGACTGCCAAACCTGGTTGGCGTCAGGCTTCGTCATTCCTGACTGAGCCTCGCTCATTTATGATCTTGTTTCATTTGGCTGCCCTGTCCTTCTGTTCCCTTGGGGGCTCAGGAGAGAGCTCTGTGCCTCTGACTCGGAGTTTTGAACCCAGCTTTTGGTGTGTGTTGGGGGTTGGTGCGTGGAGAGCAAAGGGAGACAGCAGCTGCATGAGGCCCAAGTTGTCATGCCAGCAGGTGCCCAGAGCAGCCGTCGGGGGCAGGCAGGGGGCAGGCACCGCCCACCTGGCTGTATCCTCCCTGGAGTATCAGAAGCTGCTGCACGTTGGGCACAGCCTCAGGAGGCAACTCAGGCCCTCACTCAGAAGCCGCCTGTTGAATCTGCTTGGCTTAGAAACAGCCCCGCCACACCAGGTGGTGATGTCCCGGCAGTGGCTGGAACAGCAGGCATTCGGGCTTGAGAACCAGAAACAGCCTTGGGTTCAAATCCCATGTCTGCTCCCTCTTTGCACAGCTCCATGACCCTGAATGAGTCACTCAGCCTCCTGAACGCCAGAGTTCGTATCTCTCAAATGATAGATTCTACCTGTCTCATAGGTAGCTGTGAAAATTCAAGACTAAGTATGAAAAACCCAAGACAACAGTACCCAGCACATAGTAGCTGGAATTTGTGGTCAGAGTAAATGAGGGTAAATGAGTAAATATGTTTTTTTCTCGCCACAGGAGAGTGATTTGTCAGCAAGATCTCTGATAATTTTTTTAAAAATCTCTATATTTATACTGATAAATCAGGGAAGGAGGAAATGAGAGAATATCCCCTGCTTTTCTTTATAATAATGTCTATATATGTATATAAACACATTCATATGTTTACTTATGAATATAATTTATATCTCCATTCTCTCCTTCACCTTTCTGTGCCCTGTCTGCCCTTCGTGTTTCCATAGCAACCTGGCCTCTTCCTGCCCTCCCAACCACAGAACCGTCTAGTGAGTATAGAGTTATGGCGGCTCTTGGCCAGATTGCTGCTTGTTGCCGAGCTGACGTCTGGGTCACGGTGCTGCCTGACATTGTCCCTTGTATTAACAGTAACAGTTGTGAATGCATGGAGGCTCTCCGCCTGGTGTGGTTTCCTACGCATGCTGTCTGCGTGGCCAGGAGACCAGGAAGAGCTGGGGTGATTATGTGAAGAACATTCTGCATGAAGAGAGTTTTCCAAATTTCCCTTTGTGTGAAACAACAGAATAGGATTAGAGAAACACCAAGGAGACAAAAGAACAGCATCTCTTCCCCGCTTTAGTTGTCCCTCCCCTCTGAAGCGTGGCACACATGCATACACACACACACACACACACACATGCACGCACGCGCGCGCACGTTGCCAAGACTGAGAACAAGGGAAGGAATAGAGAAAAATAGAGAGGTGGGAGGTGGAGGGGGCAGCAGAGAGGGCAGGAGCTGCTACTTCCTGACAGCATGCCCTGCTTCGTGGCACCTTGAGGCAAGGCAAGGGGTCATGAGGAACGCACAGGGCACAGGGGGGCAGAGGCCTCCACACAGCCCTCCTCCTCAGAGCTAGGAAAATGGTGGCCCCAGGAAGCATAGCCAAGCCCCCTCAAGTTTGTTACCCAGAGTCCAGATCAGAGCTCTGGAATTCATCTGCTGAGGGTACAGTTGGGGCCAGACTTGTGGAAAACATTACACTTCATCACAACTGTGACATGTTCCAAGCTTGCCTTTATAATGCTCTAATGAGGTGAGCTTGTGTGTTAGGCCTTAAGTCCCAAGTCAACAGGATCCCGTGTGTGTGTGTGTGTGTGTGTGTGTGTGTGTGTGTGTGTGTGTGTTTACAGCGGTTTCCATGGCCATGTGGGGGTTTAGATCCTATATTTCTGAGTGCACAGGAAGAAATGACATGCATCCATTGAGCAGTAGCCAGAGAAGGCAGAAAGCATGTATGCAAAATATAGCTCCCACTCGCTCCTGCTCCCAGGGCCAGGGTTTCTGATACATAATTGAACAGAGAAGAAAAGAGTTTCCTGGTTCTGTGTGTTGCATGAAATGGTTCTTTTCTCTGCTGCAGAACATAGCTGAGGGTCTGCTTTCTTGGTGTTATCTTTGTGTGTGTGCTGCAATGAATTTTAATTCCTGATGCTTTTCAGGTTTCACTTTGTCGGCAGAGCAGAGCAGGGGACATGGAACTGTGCTTGTGCGGGCTTCACTCAGATGATGGGTTGTTTTGGGGGTGGGTTGTTTTTTGTTTGTTTTTTGCATTTGGGAAAAAGAATGCAATTAATAGCACCCTTTCTTCTTCTAACAGCCATGTTCCTGGTCTTCCCAGCTTGGTGTGGTGTGTGGACCTGGCATTGTAGGCTATGTAATGCATTTGCACAGCTCGGTCATACTTAAGGTGTCTCACTGTAGATTGGTCCTCCCTGGAACCTTGAATCCAGATTTATCCTTAAGGAGGAATTAGGTGTTCTCCCCTGACAGATGTTTACTTTTTAAACATCAGACGTTTCTGTCCACAGATAAAATGCCTAGAAAGTGACATCAAAGAGAAGAAAGTGTCTTGTGTGTGTGTGTGTGTGTGAGCGCGCGCGTGCGCCATTGGACTACTGACCTAAATTTAAGTCCCAGTGGATACTGGGATGAAGGAAAGACCGTCACACTTGGGCAGCAGCCTGTATTTGGCATGAGCACATTCCTCAACAATAAGGCAAAAGGTAGCACGTGTGAATACAGTGGAGCTAAGAGCAGAGTAGCTAGATGCGTACAACGATCCATTGATCGTCAGCCAATCAATAGGGATGAAAATAAATAATGTCTCCTGTTTTTGCTATGGAGTGTGTGTGTGGGTGTGTGTGTGTGTGTGTGTGTGTGTGTGTGTGTGTGCTGATCCATTTATACTTCTGAGTGAACGAAGGTGTCCTAGATAAAATCAAAAGAGAAACTGATCAGGTGAATGTAATCCCCGCAGGATACCCTTGGTTGGAATGTGCCAGAGCCTGTACAGTTTCAGACAGTAGGAAGCACAGCCTCCCTTCGCTCAGAGCGTCAAGAATATGTAACGGGGCTGAAGCATATTTCTCTTGCATTATTTTTAAGCAGTGGTCGTGCTCTGGACAGAAAGATCTCTCCGCCTCCCCTCTTTGCCCTTCTCTTAGCTTCAACTGGCAGTTCGCTGATCTTCCCCTGGCCTGTGCAAGTGAAGGCAGGAAACCCAAACTGCCTTTGGACAAGGCAGGTCATTCAGTAACAAATTAGAGTATAAATACAACAGATGACAAAAAGGAACATGGACAAATCCAAACTTTTTTTTAATGATCACAAATCCATATCTTATCAAGTGCAGCCACAAGTCTGGAGAGATAACTGTGTCCACCAATGCCCAAGCACTTGGTCAGGGTCAGAGTCTTAGCTCGTGGGGCCAGGGGGTCCGTTCAGTTTCGCTCCTCAGTGTTGATGGAGCCACTGTCTTGACCACCAGAAGGAAACCTCGTCCCTTTGTGCACTGACTAGCCTCTGCCTTCACAGGTGTCTCAACGGGGCTGTCACTGGGAGCTCCGGGATAACGCGGGTAGATGAATTGGAAAGCGAGGAGGGAATCCCCAGGGCTGCCTCCTCTGGCCTGCACCCACTCCCCCTCTCCTCATGCACCAAAGGAAACAGGCAATGGCTTTTCTCAGTGTAACGTAATATTTTGTTCTTACAGGACACACAGTCTGGAGACTTCTCCTGCACGACCCATGTTCTCCTTGATTGCCCTCGTTTTCCAAGGATGCCGAGAGATTTCTGGAATCTGTGAATAATAACTTGCTTTTTTTTTTTTTTTTTTTTTTTTTTTCCTTCAGCAGTCTCCTGGATTGACTTTGACATCTGGGTCCCGGCAGAAACACCTCCCTATTTCCAAACAAGTTTACATACTCCTTGATGTGGTATTAATATGCAGTGTTGCAGCTGTATCTAATGCTTATTGGTGTCGTTAACCAAATGCTCTTTACGATTTATTATCCTTCTATTTCTGGGCAGTTTTACTGTCCTCCCAATGTTTCCTATATATGCTGCTAATTTAATTTGATTTCTCCTTTTATTTAGTCTGTGATTTTGTTGTTGATTTTTCTCCCTGCCCATTGTTTACATCAGTTTTTAATTTTTTTGTATTTTCCATGTGACCTCCTCCACTTTCCTTTCAACCAATCATGTGCGTGCGTATCATGTGACTTTGTCATGTGGCTTGCATGGTGCTGATGATGTCGTCCACGCTGGTGAACAGAAGGTAAAACTCTTTGTTCTGATTAGGGAAATAAACCTGGGACCACAGCCTGGCACCTAGGGCCCACTCATTTCTCCCGTCTCAGATTTCCCAAGCGAAGCCATTTGAGAGATTTCCTCTTGTTCTCAGTTCACCTCTAGAATCCATCAATTCTTTGCAGCCTTGACATGACAATTTGATACCGTGGCAGGCTTTGGTTTAACATTTCGCTCCAAGAAACTTGGCCCTACAAACTGCCATCCACAGCAAAACCACATTTACCACCACGCAGTTTGCAAACTTGAATTTTTACCAGAGAGTTCATAAAAATTACTTCCCAGAAAGCGGTTTTTTTCAGTGACCTTTATGACATTGTTGTTTAACTTTATCCAGTAGTTCTGAAAACCACAGCTGCTCTAAAATGAGTCATTTCTGTGAAAATGTGAAATGTATCTGTTTACGACACTGAAATGCTACAGAGAGAACTGTATCAATTGCAAAGGTTCTATTTGCTCAAAACCAATGAGAGTGCTTCATAAAATTCATGCAAATTGAGGACTTTCTGAAGGGAGAGATTTAAGAATTTGGAATGAAAGCAGTTTGCATTGTTGATGTGTCACTTTTTAAGAGTGACCCTCCCCCCTGGACAGTGGGGGTTAGAAATCAAAGCAAAAGTTGGCACTTAACCATGACTGGAGATCTCTTTGTAATCAAGAAGCACATGATTGACCCTTGCAGCAAAGGAAATAAAATTATAGCCTAATTAAGCGCATAGCCGTGACAAAATAATTAGTTAATATTGTGACTGTCACAACCTTGTGAAAACATTTCTCGTTTACCATAAAGAGAAAAGGAAGCCTCTGCTTGCAACTTCCCCACTGTAAAATCAAACACCTATTCAAAACCTGCCCTGGGAGTCACATGCATTCTGTTCTCTTCTAACTGAAAATTGTTACGTCACATCACAACCTGAGACACATAGGCTGCACTGATCACGAAAGCCAGACTAACACGAATAACCGCCCAGTGTGCCCGTGCATGCGAGGGGTCCCCGTCTGGCCTCACGTCTCCAAGGAACTGACTGGGCGACATTCACACAGACAAAACCATCCAAAGCTGTTGCATGCATGTTCTCTGTTCCTGGTCTGTCCTCTCATTTTGTGCCCCTGTGCGTGTGAGCCCTGTGGATGCTCCCTCTTGCTCATCCTGCACACTGACCACCTCTGAGGATGTCAGCTTTCTGGGTGTGGTCCCTGTGCCCATGTTGAGTCCCGTTTACAACCAGACTCCTGGACGAGGTCTTGGGTTGGAACCGTCTGTCACTTCCAAAAAGATGTGTGGTATTTATGCTGTCTGAAACTAAGTGGGTGTGTCCCCAGAGCAGGGGAACATCTGACGTGCTAATGACTTTGACCTACCTTCAAAAGGCAACCTAATCTGTGAACCTTAGGGTAGGGGATACTGGGAGCCTAAGATTTTCTAAACTCCCGAGTCTCACTCCACATCCTGTGGTTTCATTATTTCTCTGAGGGGGACTGTGTTCTTCTAAAGACTTGAGATGACTGTTCCAAGGGAAAACCCGGATTTTCTCCCTGAGATCTGAAGGGTGAGGTGTTGGGTTGAAACCCATTCGTTTCTTTCCTAAAAACAAGTTTGGTTATTTCTGTGCAGTGCTAGAATTCAGGATGAAGCAGAGCACAACATGAGCAAGGTTGAAACAGATCCACCCCTCTGGACAGAGATCTCTTCCAGACATTTTAAGCAAGGCAAGAAATGTTTGAAGATGTTTCCTGCGGTTGCCCCAGAAATGCACTGTAGCAATGGTCTTGGGTGTCAGTAAAAATGTGGCCAGTGCTAAAAAAAAAAAAAAAAAAAAAAAATCATTTAAAGTGCCTGTAGAATTCGAAAGTATGATTACCCCCTTGTCAAACCACATTCCCTTCTGTGACAGACCCTCTCTTACCATTTGCAAAGGGACAGACGGAGGACTCATTATTCAGATGAGCAGCAAGCAGCCAGAAATGGCCCTTAATAATACAATTTAAGGGACTGGAGAGGGTCGTAGCGAGTAAAATTCACGGAGAGAAATGAAGCTTCGTGAAAAACAGTGCTTGCCTCCTTTCTCTGAACACTAGCAAGGCTTTCAGGTGAGTGGGGCCTGAGGATGGGTAAGTGAGCAGGTGCATCTCCCAGCAGAGGGGTGTACATCCGACAGGTGATGAAATCCAGTTCCTGTTCCACCACTGCCCCCTGCACACACGCGCACGCACACGCACACACACACTGCCTCTAGGATGCCCTTGACACAGGCTGCATGTTGTGTAAATCTCAGGCTCCCGTCCACAGTGTTGACTGGGTTCGGCAGCACGGGGTCAGAAGGGAGGTGAAAACAGGCATTGGACGCCATGCCCTTGGCTCCCTTAGTCCTGAACCTGTAGAGCTTTGCAAATAGGGGTTCACGATGGGGAAACTTAGGCACCTGTCCCAGGATCCCAGGAGTGGGCTTGCTGTGGTGAGCTAAGATGCTCCCGTGCCAAGTTGATTTTTAATATCACGGCACCTCGTCGTGGCCGGGCCTCCTTCCTCCAGTGACTCTGTCACCTATGAGGACTCTGTGTAAGTAAACGGGCCTCCCCACCCTTCCCACCGCCAGCATGTGTGTGATGAGAAGCCCCCTGAGCCCCTCTGTCAGTGTGCTGCATGTTTTAGCATGGATCACCCCCCCCCCCAATTCATAATGATCTTCTTTTCTTTAGCTACTGACACTGCCTCTCGTACTAGGACATGCTGATTCTGGTGAACTAAGCTCCTTAACACCCACTCTTCCTTCTTAGATTGAAAACATCACTAACCACCCCTTCCACTCCTTCATTTATTTATTTTTTTTTTTTTTACAGCTGTGTGTCTGGATTGCCACGGTCTCTGGCAGGTCGACATAGACTTTTCACCAGGGCTCTGCTCTAATTGCCTTTATTCTTAAGGATTCCCCGCACTGGCGGTTACAGGGTAGAGAGCTAGCGTGAAGGGTCTGCAGAGGGGAGGCAGTGACGCGTGTCAGCCCGAATCCTGGGGGCAGAGGCCGGGGGCTCTGCAAAGGGCCCGTTTCCCTAGGGCTTCCCAGGAGCTTTGTACTTCTTTATAAGTAACCTAATGTCCGTGAAATCGTGTTGAAGATGTGCACAGACTCCCCTTGGCGGCCTCGCAAGCGGGAGCCAAGTTAATTGTTGGAGGTTATTTGGGTCCTAACTTCCTCAGCCTGGATCAGCCCCATAACCACAAGCCATACCTTCGTGGTCCTATTTTCATTTTAGGATGATGATGAAACAGAGATAATTGATCAGCTAATCTGGTGGTGTTTTCATGACACCCACGAGAAGGGAATTGGTATCTCTGTGGTTCAGTCTGTCAGAGTTCATCTTTGGCTGTTCAGTTCATATCCCTTCCTGCCACTGGCCTCCCCAACCACCCCCAGCTCACACGCTCACGTTCGTAGTTCCTGAGGAGCCCAATTTGAGAGGGATGTGTAGGCCGGATGCCCCCATGAGCGTGGCCACAGGGCTACGCGTCCTTTCTGTGGAGAGCCAGGGAATTGGCCACGGCTTATACACACTCCCTGCATCCCTTGGCGTTCCTTGGAGCCGGAGACCAGGATGGCAATGAGTCAGCTGGCCCTGGCACAAGCATATTCTTGACAACAAGGAGGAAAGAGCTCAGGAGAAAAGGAGCATTTATTCCCCAGGCCCGATCTGGAGGAGCAATGCTTAGGACAGAATGAACCCCGTCCGGGGTTGGGTGTGTTCGGACTGACAGCCGCTCGCCGGGACTGTCAGAAAGCCCCCTCAGCCAGGCGGGTTGTCACAGGGGGCGTCCCAGAGTGTTTGAGGCTCCAAGGATGAAAGCAGCACAGATCCCCTAGATTCATTTGTTCGGCAAAGAGCCTGGTCTTAGGACAATCAGCAGCCTCATAACTACAGATCCTAAGGCCGATCAAACGTCTAACCTCTTGATGTAATTTCGAATGTTCCTGAGTTGGGAAAAATCAAATGGGCTTCATACTTGAACAGCCAAGTCATGCATTTTGTACTCTTCTAAACAAATAATAGAAAAGGCATACATAAGTTTCACATTGCTTGCAGGGTGTAATGGACCAAAGGGGAACAGGAGTTAAGATAAACAAAAGTAACAGTATTTTTGATGCCAGACAATCCTGTTTGATGGAAAATGTGATAGATTCTAATGCAAGCCCTATCTCCATCCCTGGTTTATACTCAGAGGCCCCAAAGTCTGTGCAGGTCCCTGTGGGAGAGAAAGCAAAGGTCAGGAAAAAAGAATGCAGGCCTCTGTCAGGGATGCCATGGGGCACCTCGGCATTTCAGTCAGAAGGTATACTTCTTGGTACTTGGGCGTTTTTGAGTAAGAAGTAGAAGATTGTTTTCCTTCTAAAATTCACAGATGCTGTCCAGACCCCCTAAGCCTGCTATAATTTCTGTTGTGGAATTCAGGTACCCAGCAGTAGTTTTCTGACCTCCGGACTTGTGCTGACGAGGGGAAGGAATTGAAGCTGACTCAGATTTTAGGGCACAATAGCACACAAATTACAAAGAACCTACAATCTGCAAGGCCAGAAATACACACTTCAATTACGATTTCTGGGAGGAATTTATAGGACGAGCCTGCCACATTTCTGACTGTATGTGGTCTCGATGGTACATTCTTCTTTTCTTGCATCCGTGATTTACACTCTTCTAGAAAATACCAGAGTTGCCTAATATTTTATATTTGTTATCGGCAAGGCTTATTTTTAAGGTGATGTTGTTTTGAGTCTTTACGTGAAATATTTGGGGGCAAAATTTGACTCATGGCTGAAGCTAAATTCAGAAGGTGTAATTAACCGCAGGGGTTTTCTTGGAGCAACCTGCCGATTGCTGCTGAATCGCAAACCAACATTTACAAATAATTACAATATTGGTTTTGCGGAAATTACCCATAATGATTTCAATCAGGGCAGCCATTTCAGAGCAGAGTGCACATTGGGACCCTCTAAATAATTTCCTCTCCTAATGTGTTCAGCAAAGCAGTGAGCCACCCAAATGCCAAGGCCCCATTTCTTCAGGGTCAGCCCATCCCTCATCAGGTATGGCTAGAGTCTCCTTTTCGCCGACAGCTCAGGAAGCAATTCCTTTAGCCTATTCGTAATCTTGAGAAGAATGGACAGAGAGCGTGCATTTGAAGATGGAGAAGACAATTGTTTAAATATTGCTCTTTCTCCACCTTTATGTGACTACAAGTTGTGTAGAGTTGGTCAGAATCCCTCTGATGTTAGTTGAAGGTCATCTTCCTCTAGAAACACCATCACAGGAAGGGTTACCTTTCCATACAAGGGCCCCGCCATTTTTAAAAAGAGTTGATCATAACTAGGTTTTTTTCTTTTGACAAACCGAACTTTGTCTTGTTTACCTTTGAAACCCCAATGCCTAAGAGATTATCTGGTACCTGGGAGGTAGGTACTCCGTAAACGTTTGTTGAGTAAATCATAGTTAAAGCACTTTAAATGACACATGTAAATATTATATGCCATGCTCTACATTCTGTAAGAAAGAAATACACGTATATCAGAATAACATGGTAGTCGCTCCAATAAAATAGCAATGATAGTGTTCCAACTTTGGTAAATGTTAGAACTGTGTTCTGTGGAATAGTTGTTAGTGGTTTCTTTGTGGTTCCAATCATATTTTTTCTGAAACACATCCAAAGGTAAGATTTGACTTTCATCGGGGCTGTTAGTTTCTGCAGGGAATCTTTGGCAAGATATTTGTTCCCATGTCTCTGAAGACAGTTGGGGTCTCTTTGCAAAGATAGGACTTTGGGGAGGATAACTTTTAAAATTGTAAAGAAAAATGGACAGCCCTGTGCCTTAGAGATGGGGAATTGCTGATCTGGGGATACATTGCCCCGAAATTGGCAGGACCATCCTTATTTTGCGTCTTTCACAGTGTTTTGAAAATAGCCAAGGTGTTCTTGATAGTTTGTCCTAACACAGTGACTGTCATTGGGTCACAGTGCCGTCAGAGCCAGAGGGGGGGCCCTGGAGAACACCTCGTTCGGGGCATGGATTCTGCAAACGTGGGTACTGAGGCAGTGGCCTGTCCAAGCATTCAGTTTTACAGGGATCCCCACAAACATGAAAGAGAGTACCTCTTCTAAGTAGATACAACCCCCCCACCCACTCCCAAAGCAGGGTCCAGTGTTTTGTGGTCTTGATTCAGCCTTGAAACCCACGCTGCTCAAATCTGGAAGGAAATCCTAAGGAAAGTGTAGCCAGAGCAGCCCCAGCAGATTAATCTCCGTTTACCTTCCAAGGAAGCTTTGGGGGAAGGACCGGGTCCTCGCCCCATGACTGTGTTGGAAGGGCCACTGATGCCACTGCCTTCCCTCCTTAAGGCAAATCCACCATCACAGAGTCAGTGTTGCAATTCTGAATACAAAAGTCCTCGTTAATGTCCATCCCCATTCAGTGTGGGGCCATGAGCTCTCCCAGTCAGCCTGAGTGCAGGACTTGTGAGGCTCACACCTGGAAGTCCCAGGCCAGCCAGAACCAGTCTGTCCCCTGCATTCAGAGAACAGAGCTATCCAGTTCAACTGTGCCTACTCCTGCCATCTGTGACTGTGCAGACCTGCCCGGTTCTGAAATGTCCTCCACTTTGTTTGAGTTCCTTTCTAGCCCTGGATATTTACAATGATATAAGACACAACTGTTGTCTAAGGCTTAGGATGGTCCAAAAGAATCTGAAAAGCATACCTGCCTTGACATTATCGAAACCAAATTCCTAAGAATTTTCCAAAGAATAGTTGGGACCAGCAGCTGGATAGCGACATGAAAACAGGACAAGTCTTTGCCTAAAACCTTGCCTAAAACCTTGTCCTTTTTTTCCTGTTTTTTTTTTTTTTAATTGCTGATGGAGGAACACCAGTTACAAGCCTGACTTCCTAAATCACCCCTGACATTAAGGGGATGCACCTTCCCTGTCAGCTTCTGTGTGTCCCCATCACCTAAAGGTGCACAAGGATCACCTTGGGATCTTGTTGAAACCGAATCTGCATGTCTAAGGAGCTGCCACGTGGGGTTCGTGCTACAGGCCCAGGCTGAGCAGCAAGGGCTGGCCAATAGCTTTCCCTGTCTGGTTCCTCCTTGTCTCAAAGTGGGGAGCAGGACACAAGGCCAGTGTGAGGTTCCCAGAGTAGCTGAATGAGGAAGGTGGGCTGAATGGCTTTGCCAGCAGCCTTGCCACAAATGGCCAGAGGTATACCTTGGGGTGATGAGGTCCAAAGCCTGGCGACAAACCTTTCTGGGTTCTTTGGTCACATGTCTGTGATTCTGTCTTCCAGTGATCGAGCCAGGACAACCCTCCCAGAAGGTGACTTCTTGTAGGCTCTCCCAATTTTCTGTCTGAGGACATGAAATCGACACAGAGATGTGTGTCTTTGAAGGAAGTGCAGAATTCCCGAATGCGTTAAATCTTCATTTTAACTTTTCATACCAGACATTATCTTACCTCATTACTCCCAGTACACACTAGTGAAACAGTTTCTCTTAAAGAACGTCGGCGTCTTATTTACTGAAGAAGCATCCCACCTCTGGTAATTTGTCCGTACCGAGCTCACCTTCCTCCTCTGTCTCGGGTTCACACGAGCTGAGTGTATACCACAGGTAGAGACATCGACTTTTTTCTGTTGAGAAATGCTGAAGCCATTTTTTCCCTCTCTCTGCTCACAAACAGAAAGACTTCCATGATTGTTACTTTAAACAAGGTACCAAGGTTTATCACTCAGGCAGTTGAGCCGTAAATGCAGGATGCTTACGGGAGACTTGCCCGTGGCAAATTGTGCTTTATTTAATCACACCTGGAAACTTGTCATGTTTTTATATGAATGAGTCTAAGTAATGCAATTTAACTCATGGAAAGCTGGTCACAAGAATGCAGTGTCATTCCGTCCCCATCAGGGATGGGTCCCCCAGCCCCCTGAGATGAATCACGTATCCAGGGAAGAAACTGGCTGCTGTGAAGAATTATTTTATGGGTGTAGGTTTTCTCCTTTAAACACTTACGCACATTTGCCTGTATTTCAGGCTGTTCCTCAAAATGCATCAGGCTCATCAAAGTAAAATCTGCAGTTGTAAGAACAGCAAAAAGGAAATGCAAGCACCAGTGAGAAACAGTTTTTAAAAAATCCTGTTTCTAAAATGGTAAAAGGACTGTGCTAATAGGGTTTCCCAGAACATTCCCAAAAGTCACTCCCAGTTTGGGGCTAAGTCTGAGGTATCTCACTGGAATCTGAAGTTTTATATTTATTGCTTTTTAACCATTTGAATTTCTGAGAAAGCAAGAAAGAGCCCAGCCCCACCCCATCACTCCATCCCATTCTGGGTTGGATTTTCTTCGTGTGGGTGAATATGTCACATGAATTAACTGGCTGTTTCAGGGGAACCCAGTGCACCTAAACTCGAAGGGCAGATGGGAGAGGATGGAAACTCTATTAAGGTGAATCTGATCAAACAGGATGACGGCGGCTCCCCCATCAGGCACTACCTGGTCAAGTACCGAGCGGTGAGTAGCTCCTGTCCCCCTTTTCACCTGCTTCTGCAGCTGTCACACCCACCTTGTTGGGGCAACAGCATGCACATCCCGGGGGCCAAGGAGGAAGTAGTGCAGGACAGAGTCCTTCTGTGTCTTGCAGGGCTCAGGGGCCCTGCTCAGGGTTTTAAATCCCAAGATCGACCTACAGCCATCAGGCCGTGTCTACACGGGGATCATTTCAAAACCTCTGAAATGAATGTGGCGACAGACTCATACCCTGATTGATTTTTCTGCTTCTTGAACATTTCTACAAAGTGATTTTGCAATTACCCGGTAGCTTCTGCATATAATATACTGGTATCTCATAATCAGGACATTTGGTAAACTGTATTATGGGCCAGGCACTGTGATTTTCTCCCCACGAGAACCTGATGAAGCTCTTCTTATGACCATCTGCCCTTTACAGAGGAAGTACTATATCCATTCAGTAACGGCCTGATCTCTCATGCCTGGGTGGGCAGAGTTTGAATCCAGGTCTGTCTGCAGACCCTGGGCTGTTAGCCCCTGCCCTAGGCTGCCCTGCCATCCCAAACCATGGTATTCCCACCTGCCCCTCACAGCTACCTGAGCTGTTCTAATCCTGCTAACGGTGAGCTTGGCCCTGAACCCTTTCTTCCTGGTTTGCTCACCATCTAAGATTTCTGTCATGCCGCCTGTCATCTCCATCCCCCAAAATGAGAATCACTCTGTTTCTCTGGTTTTAGAATGATACTTGGCCACTGCCAACCAGAGTCAATTGCTGAGAGATTTAGAGGCAGAATGTGAACACTGGGAAGAGTCTCTTGCTAGGATTTCTTACCAGTAAGAGATAACGAACCAGAGAGCAGTTTTCTTTCTTCCAATCGCCCCCAAGAAAGGATTTTTCAAGGAAGTTGACTTACTCCCTCTCTTTTGATCAGCCCCCACTGAAATGATGTGTGAGCTCTTACCTGGTTGGGCCTAATGGAGAGTCATTACAGCAGAGCCCTACCAGGCACACGCCCCCCCCCCCACCCCCCTGCCAGCTGCTGGGCAGACCTGTCATTCCACTCAGCCCTTCCTCACTCAATTGTGAAGTCAGGCATGAGCCTGACATCAGATGAAGAGCCTCATCTAACGTCTCTAAGGCCCAGCCTAGAGACATCCCTGTAAGAGCGACCACTGTGGCTTCCTCGCTGTGGAATAGGATGCCAGGATTGAGTGGTGGCCCAGCACAGCCCGCAGGAAGTAGACTGTGTGTCTGGCCCTTGTTATGCTCATGTGGCCCAGACAGATGGGTTCTGGTTTCAGCTTTACCACTTACCAGCATGCCCAGTCTTCCAAAACCTCCATTTCTCCATCTGGAAAATGGGGATAAAATAGTTTCTTACATTATTGTACAGATCAGGAATAATATAAACAAAGAGCCTGAAATGTGCCTAACACTTGGAAACCCCCCGTACATGGTAACAACAATAATTACCCTGAAGATGCCGGCTGGGTCTGGAGACACCTCCCGTATGAGGCCACCTGAGATGTCAGTTTTCCAGAAGAGCCACTGTGGCTGTGTCAGGCAGGTCTGTATTAAAAAGACAACGGGGGGTGGCCCCTGGGGGCTCAGTCAGTTGAGCGTCCGACTCTTGATTTCGGCTCAAGTCATGATCTCATGGTGCTGAGATCTAGCCCCGCGTCGGGCTCGGCACTGAGCATGGAGTCTGCTTAAGATCCTCCCTCGCCCTCACCCTCTGCCCCGCCCCACTCATCCGTTCTCTCCTCCCGCCCACACACACAAAAATATAGCAGGGACAGAACACCAAGATATGATAGCCTTACCTGCCCTGTGTTCGTCTGTCTTGCACTTCAAAAACTCAGTGTTTGCTAGATATCATTAACATGTTGTTAATATTTTTATATAACACAATATTTGCTTTATATTCTGGTTGCCTCTTTATTATAGAGTTTGCCAAGGAAAGGAGCCTTTCAGAGAATGAGAATACAGACAGGTGAATTTCTTTGTTTTAAACTAAACGCGGGCCACATGGCTATCTATGGCCACATGAATGTGCAGCCTGACAAAACACTTCACGGGCTCTTGGTAGGGATCCAGTGAGAAAATTGTGGAAAACCTTAGTACAGTGCCAGGCAGATAGCAAGTGCTCAATAAATCGTACTTTTTAATTTTTCTTAATGTTTTGTTTATTTTTGAGAGAGAGAGAGAGAGAGACAGAGTGCCAGCTGGGGAGGGGCAGAGACAGAGGGAGACACAGAATCAGAAGCCGGCTCCAAGCTCTGAGCTGCCAGCACAGACCCTGACTTGGGGCTCAGACCCACAAACTGTGAGATCATGACCTGAGCAGAGATCAGACACTCCACCAACCTTGCCACCCGGGCGCCCCTGATCCTTTTTCTTTTTAATAAAACAAATCGATACAGTGTTTCTGTGTCCAGGAGGGCGAGTCACAGTACCTGACTGAGCATGAGCAACATCCTGAATCAGACAAGAAGCTTCTTTGTTTCTTTACTCTTCCAGGGTGTCTGTGCACGTACGCGGAGCACAGCTTGGCAGATGGTCCCTGCGCCACACTGCTATCTGCCGAGGTCTGTGTGTTTGCAGACACGCAAGGGTGACCTCCTGACCTGTGTAATCCTTAGGGTTTTTCAGGCTAGTAAATAATGCACGCCATGTCCTATCAGTGGTTTTTCTTTTTATTAGTTTGCACCAATAGTTAGTGACTCCCTTGAGTTCTTCCAGTTAGCTGGCCTCACCAGCATTTGTATCTCAACTTTCCTGGTGTCTTGTGTCCTTCCTGCCGGTTTCTCCCAGAAGCTCTCCTCGGAGTGGAAACCGGAGATCCGGCTCCCATCCGGCAGTGACCACGTCATGCTCAAGTCCCTGGACTGGAATGCTGAATATGAAGTCTACGTGGTGGCTGAGAACCAGCAGGGAAAGTCCAAGGCGGCTCATTTTGTGTTCAGGACCTCGGCCCAGCCCACGGCCATCCCAGGTATGACCGTCTCTGCTCTCTGTGAGTCTCCTGCTTTGAATTAATGCACCAAAGCTGCACCTCCTAATGCGCCTGAACAGCCCCTGACAACTTGCTTGCTTCCAGCCATCCTCATGATCGGTCGCCCATGCAAAGCTTAGTTTTGCTTTGTACCTATCTGTGCAGTGGGTTGAGATGTACTGGACCCCCAGCAAGGCTTGGCCAAGCCTCCTGGGGCAATGGTCCTGTGTCATTCAGCCTTGAAGGACTGATGCTGAGCCAGTCCACGAGACCCCTGAGATGGGAAAAGCCCCACCTCCAGCCAAGCCTTGGAGGCTGGTTGAGTAAGGATCTTGTTTTGAGACCTTATCTACCCTCTGCCATTTCCTACAAGGACCACCCAATTGTTGAAGCGCTTTCTATTTGATGCTTGCTTACTGCACAGTCATGTTCCAGATCTCTTCTCTGTGGGGACCCCAAGAGAAGGAAGAGACGGTGCCCAATTAGTTAAAAAGCCTATCTTCCAAGGGCCTCTCAACTGAAACAAAGATTAAATTGAATTACTTGAAACAGAGCAAATGAGGAAAGTAGATGCTTGGAAACCCCATCTGTGAAAGGCAGTCTGCTGGAAACCGTGATGCAAGTGGTTCTCCTAGGAGATGTAGAACTGTTTCTAGGGACCCGGGACCAACCCAAGTGTGGGAATAACGTGGGAGTTCTGCTTGCTGGCCCACCCACCTTGCCGCTGATGGTTAGTCCCCTCACTGACCAAACCCGCAGAGCAGAGAGAGATCTTCAGCCCCTCTCTGCTTTCCCAGATCACCCCAAGGCCGGCCTCAGGCAGGAGAGGTGGGCATAGACCATACAGCTGCAGCCTGTTGAAAAAGGGCCCCACAAACCCTCTGCTGTGTTCAAGCATGGCAGGGAAGATGTTTCGGTCTCCCAGTGGCCTTGGTCTGGCCCCATCATGCCTGTCCTCTCTCCAGTGCTTGCCTGGGTGCTCTGTTCAGTTAACACAACAGCACCTCCCAGCAGGAGGGAGAACAGAAAGGGTACGGCTGCCTGGGACACAGGCGTGCATGTGTGCGAGTCAGTGCAGCAACAAAGGCACCAGTGTGTGGTGGCCGACTGTTGTGTGTGCGTGAGTGTGTGTGTCCAATAGACCTGTTGGGGCCTCCAGGGAGTTGACAGGTGGGTCTCGAACCACAGATGAGACACGTCGATTGGACCTACCCTCTGCATTCTCAGGGAGGCTCCTTAGTGCAGATGGTCAGTGGTAAAGGCAAGGCATTTGGGTGTGGCTGCAAGAAACGCTCTCAAGACTGCTTAATATGATGTCCACATGGGGGTGGCCCTGCCAACCTGTGCCCTCTCTTTCTTTGTGCTCTTTGGTCAGCTTTTCATTGAAATCGACAGTCTGGAATGTATCCAGATCTGCCCAGCCTTTATGGGACACTTAGGAGCTGGGGGGTTGGGGTGGGGAGAAGCTCGAGCAACCCCTTTTCAGCAAGACGGACTTCTGGTGGCACTTGTTGCCTGGGCTAAGTGACACAGGCAGGTTGCTTGGACGTGCTGTGTCCGCATGTTGGGTAGTGCCCACAGCATCGGCTCGTGGGGTTGGAGCAGGTGGGGACACTGTGATTCAGATACAGAAACAGGAGAAGATGTTGTCCTCCAGGGCCCTGCCCAGTGGTCAGAGGCGTTAAGGCACCCCATTAACCGAGAGACGGTCGGAGGGACTGCTCACCTACTGCACGCGTATTAAGAGGAGGTGTCTCTGTGCTTAGTTGGACTTTCCTGGCCATGGCGTTGGGATCTGCGTATAAAGCCTCTGAACTACAAGATGTGCGCTCGTGGTGGGATTCTGTGGTCAGTGCGGTAGCAGAAGGTGAGGGGTGCAGGCGAGATCGTCTTGAAGAGCGACCGGGTGGGGGCCATGGCGCAGTGGGAAGACGAGTCCCATATGTCACTGAAAAAGCACAGTTTGCTGCACACAGCGCATCTCTCCCGCTACGCGTAGAAAGCTCTAGAGGCCAGGAGGCTGTGGGTAAGCTCGTTGACTGCCCCTCAGAGGCCTTGCCTTAGTCGAAGGTAACACTCTCCTAATCAAACTCTTGTACTTTACTGTGGAGGCTCTGTTCTCTCACTGTAATTTCATTTGCTCGCTGACCCCTAACCCCCGAATTCACCCTGCTGTGCTGCTTGTGGCCTTGCTGAGCTTTGGAACTGGCCTTACGGGAATAATACTGTACTGAACCCTTCCCTAACCTTTGTCAGTCTAATTTACTAAGTTGAATTAACCTTTGATTCTTGCGTTTTCTGTATTTGACCTAATTTTTTTTTCTTTTTATCTATTTTTTTTTCCTCTGTTTCTGTCTCTACCTTCTCTTTCCTTCTCTCCCCTCCTCCCCTTCCTGCGTCTGTCGTCACACATGTCACGTTGGACGTGCGTCACTGGGACATCCCCACTGCCACATTTGTTTTTAAACAACCACATTCTCTCTGGGCTCCCATTGCTTGGGACCTTCAGCGACCTTGGGAGGCTGCTGTGCGTCCTACACCTTTGTCTCATTGCTTCTCTCTGCAGTGACTCTTCTTTTGCTCTGTTAGGAATTTGAACACAAACACACACAAATTAAATTTGCTTAAATGCCCAGTTCCCATGAGAATGATCAGTTGCCCCCTTTGGAAGAACCTGTCAGGACCGCCACGGCCACGCCACCAAGTGCTCTGTGTGGAAGAGGAAGGTTTGGTGATTGGAAAAAGCTGGACCTCCAGACATTTTACCGTTCGCGGATACTTCCATGCTGCTTCACGAGGAGTTTGCCCCCTTTTTGAATGGCAGTACAAAAATATGTGGGAGCGCTTTTCTTTAAACGCGGTTTTTAGAAGAGCATCATGCTAGTTTTACAGAGAAGTTTCTGCACATCTCTGCTACTTGTTGATTTTTTTTCTTACCTGAACATGATGTGGCAGAGAAAAATGTCTAAGTACCTCCTAAAGCTTGCATCAGAGTGTCCACATCACCACGTTTTCCCTACCCCATTCCAACCCCGTGCTCCCCCTCTGCCCTTCAAAAAAGCAGTGGGCGCTGCTTGCCTTGACATGCCCGTGGTCAGGGGGCCAAACCGCTCTGATGCATCTGGGCATTTTGCTGACATGATGGGCAAAGTAAGTCACCCTGTTGCCCATGCAGTGGAAGAAAATGGATTCGTTAGGCATTTTCCGGGGCTGAACAGATGTTCTGGGGGGCACGGTGGTCCTGGTATTACAACCAGCCCCTTCTGCTGGCTCTGCGAACAGGACCAACCTGTGATATGCCCAATACCAGTCAGCTTTGAAAGATGCACGTCTCCCAGTTGGAGTGATAATGGGACTGCCTAGCAGATTAGCACAGAGCCTGCCTTGGGGGTTGTGGTCCCACAGTGACCCACCGTGTCACATAACCATCAGCCCCCAGGTTAGAAGTATCCACTGCAAGCCCAGCATGGGTCACGCACTCCGCGACCCCGCACATACTCACCAGAGCAGATGGGTGGGGAACAGGCCCCTCCCAGAGTGTCCCCACTGCGAATCACTCAGCCTGTCGTACTTCCCCAATGCCCTGACCCCCGCCCATATTGGTCAGTGACTCTAGTGACATTTAGAAAATTCTGGTGAAATCCAGCTAGTCCTCTCTGCTCTTGAGGGGGCGTCCTCTCCACGTGCCCAGGAGAGAAAGATCAGTGTGTTTGCTAAAGTCTCACATGGAGACCCAGGCGGGTCCTGCTCAGTACCATCCTGTACATGCTTGGGGATGGACCCTCTGCTAAATAAAACCTCCGTCCATTGTGGTCACCTATCATCCTATACATCTCATCTCTAAACATCCCACAGAAGTTTGATTTTTGTTCTTTTTGGTTTATTTTTTAGTTCCATTTGGTTTTTTCTAATGTTTGAAGACTAGTCTTTCCCTTTGGGAATCCAAGGGACCCCGTGGTCTGCAGGGCACGGCTGGTGGTGTTGGTCGGCACAGGCCCGTGTCCCCAGCGCTCACAATTTAGAGGCTCACGCACACACACTCTTCCAGCAGCTCAGGCAGGTAGCTAGCGCCTCTTGCCCCGGCCCTGTGCACCCCCAGCCCCATCTTGAACCTCTCTGCCTGGGGTCCCTGACCTGCATTCACACCAGCACAAGAGAAGCAGGCATGGTTCTGAGGCTCAAGGCAGAGCATTGAGGAGAGGCACCCGGGGCCTCTGGGCCTGGTGTAAAAACCCCAGGTCAGTTAGAGCTGCAGGGAGGACGAAGGAAGGAGAGATCCATCGTCACCCAAGTGGCCCGTCACTGTCCTCCTGGCCTCTGGCATGCTCTTGATATCATCTTAGGCAGAAGTCACATGTTCCCCTAGGGGGGGCCCCGGCCTGGCCCCAGTCCCGCCCCTAGGGAAGGGACAGTGTCAGTGTTTCTGAAGGGACTCCTCAGAGATCTAGTCCCAAGCGTAGGGAGGCCTGACAGAGCCCTGTCCCCTCAGCACAACCCCGGGCGAAGCATGCCTCAGCCAAAGGCACTTTGAGGCCACTGCAGCCCCATGGCTTATAATGGGATGCCTTTCAAGAGACAGTGTTAGGGCACATCCACTCACACTGGACACCGTCCTCAGTGATGGCTGTGGCCCCCAGCCCCACCGGGAATCCCCAAGACAGCGGCCCTTCGAGCCCCCACAGGAGTAAGCACTTGCCGCCTCGCCGGGCTCTCCCAGCCACTGCGCCCTGCTCAGTGCTGCCCGTGCCCCCCATGCCGCGGGGTTTCTCTGCTCCTTTCTGGAATATTTATATGGCAGGTTTGGATCATGTATGTTACTAATAAGAATGCTAACACTGTTGTGTAGATAATCAGCGAGGCCTTTATGAAGTTTACACCTTTGCATTATTAAAGGAAATAACAGTCCACGTGAACTTACCGGCGTGCTTTGATTTTATTTAATAGCTGTGTGTCCTACCAAGTGTCCAAAGTCCTTTCCCTCCTCCACCTCACATGTACCTGAATAACTCTGATTACCCCAAATTGTACCCCAAACTTGCAGCCTGCTGCATGGAGTTTTAGAAGAGGAGAGGCTTTCCTTTGCCAATGAGGGGCTATGCATTTGGCTCAGCTATCCTGAGAGCTCTTGCGGGTCACTGCCTCCTTGAACTTTCCTAGTCCCCAGCAGACAGGGGGATGAGGGGAAAGTGCCTTTGCGGAACCAGGAGCTGGTCACTTTGGGGTCAGGAATGCATTGTGGGCCATCAGACATACAGTCTCTGTAGCCAGGGCTCCTGATGTCACTGCCCCCATTAAAACCCCATAGCAGAGGCTGCACAGAGTGATCTTGTGATCAACAGAATGCGAGAGAAGGTTCTCATTGGCAAATCCTATTCTGTTTGTAGTCACACTTAGTAGGACTCTTTCCAAACTTAAGACCAGCTGTCTGTTTCACAGCAGATACTGGGAGGGAGGAAGCAGACGTGTGAGAGGTTTGCAAGTGAACCTGAACTCCCGCTCAGTGGGAAGGGCACCTGGCTGCACTGAGGTCCCATGACACAATGACTCAGACCCATCTGGCGTCTGTAAAATGTGAGACCCATCTTCCCATTTTGAGGCATTTAAGGGAGCTATATGTAGGTCCCTGTCATGGGGCAGCCAGCTCCCCAGTCAGTGCCAGCCTCTCCCATGCCAGGAACCACAGAAGATGGACAGCCTCACTTTCGCAGCATCACCATTCGGGTGGCTGTGACCCTGGAGGTTATGGAGGAACTGCTCCCAAGAAAGTCTGTGCGTGCAGATGTGGGGTGAGTCAGTCACAGGAGGCCAGCGTAAGGTCATGCAAAGACAGAGCCCTGGAAGGTTTTAATTTTTCCTTTTTTATACAATGTTACGTAAGGTGTAGGAGATAACCTATGTCCTCCTGGCTCTCCTGAGCTACACAGTTTTGTAACATCCCCCTAGAGGTAATGAATGCTGACTTTCATACCCTCTCATCTATTTCCCGGTGTTTCCCTTACGTACAGCTTCTTTTTGCAAAAGGTGCACACACCCTTTCTCTAGCTTAAGGAGCCTCTTACTTCCTCTGGAAGTCTGTACTCTAAGTGGTGAACTGGCTGGTCCTTTTTCCTTCAGGGACAGTCTCTGCTCCCTCTCTCCATACATTCAGTACGTCAGTTACGTCACTATGACCACCTCAGTGGTCAGGGCCACGAGGCGAGACTCCACAGCTCATCCGTGGGCCAGGAGTCATAGAAGCCACTATTATTCACTGTGACCCAGGCACAAGATGGCCTGGAGACAGCGCTCCTCAAACTCTGCTATGTATAAGGATCACCAGGGCCGCTCGGCCACACCCAGATTTCTGAGCATCACCCACAGAGATCCTGATTCACTAGAACTGGGGAGCCCCAGAGTCTAAAGCACCCTAGAAATTCTGCTGCAGGTGACAAACATTATGCTAAAAGGTGTGTTTATTTTTCACATAAAAATAAAATCCCGAGGACCAGTGAATAAAAATGGGACCCACTGAGTGTTCTAGTCTTCCAAGGGAAAAGTCGTCAGTGCAGAGGACCTGTACCGCGTGCAGGGTGCTGGACCGCGACATGGGACGGCAGGCTCCCGTGGTTGAAGAGGGTGTGGAGACACCTTCTGTCCCAGGCCCTGCCCAACACAGGAGCCTCTTCCAGAGCACTAGGCATCCCTGCCAAGGGTGTCCAGGCACAGGGTGCTTGCCTGCCGAGGCAGCTCACACTGTTAGCTCCCTCTCGAGGGAAGCTGAACTACCCCGACCCCTACAGTTTCCATCCAGCAGTGATACCAAGTAAGACCGCTTCCATTTCACGACACATCTGTAAACATCTGGAGATGGTGTTCTCATCTCCAGACTAAACACCCACTCCTCTTTTTGACAAATATTCTTTGAACATTTCCTATGAGTCGGGTTGTGCTAGATGCTGGGGAGAACTAAGAGTACCCTATAGAACATTCTGGAGAAGACAGCCAGATAAAAAGCATGCAAGTGAACAGAAAGTGGCAGATAGACGTAAGAAGAGAACAGATACTCTACTACTCTATCTACTCTGCGGTAGATACTGGGCAGAGTGAGAGATCAGGGGACGGAGGGAGAGGGCTCTCCAGCAAGGTGACATTTGAGCTGAGGCCTGTAGGACAGCAAAGAGCCAGCCAGGAGGTTACGGGGCTGGAGGGTTCCCAGAAAGGAGTCAGCAAGGACCTGAGGCAGGAATGGGCTGGGTATATTCAGCAGGTAGGATGAAGGCCCTGGCCTGGAGCACAGGGATGGGTTGGGGGGAGGGGTGCGGGGAGCGGTGCCATGAGTTACAACAGAGGTGTGGGAGAGTGCACGACATGTGTAAGGCCTTTAGGCCAGGAGAAGGGAAGACCGCTGCCCTTCTTTCTGTCTCACGTCACCGGGGTCTTTGTATCCTCTGGCCCTTCCCCTGAGTGTGCCTGCAGAAGCCAGGCAGCCCTCCAGCCAGGTCTAACGAGCCCAGAGCACAAGGTGGACAGTGGCTGCCTCTCACATGCACAGAGCCCCCTTTCCGTGGACCATTTGTCCTCTTCAGAGATATGACTGGTCCCCTAAAACCACGCTTATGTGTAAACCTCGGAATGTCGAGTTTATGCCACTGAGTCCAAAAATACAAACATTCTCCCCTCCCCCAAATACTTTAGGCTCCTTCCTCGGGAAGCAGGCACTCGACACCTATTGGGCACCGACGTCAGGAGGCGGCAGTGGCTGGAAGCCACTGTCATGGGATAGAAAGCCCAATACTGGTAATTCCTCCCTGTTCGGGGAACCAGCTTTGGGATTCTGAACATCAGGAAGGCTTGCGTGCCTCTGTGCTTCTTTGGGTGGAATGTATGAGGAGCCGGAAGAGAAGAACGAATGCTCTCTTCTGCTTTTGTGAGCTGCTAGGGAAAAGACCTGCTCTAGCGGATCACGGGGGCCAGCCATCAGTTTCCTGCTGCCGAAGTCCAGAGACAGCGTGGCTGGAGCTGGGTCCTCTGAGCACAGAGGCCTTTGCCAGTATTGGAACCTTCCTGGGAGATAGGCTAAGGTTTTCAGTGCAGGTTGGATGGGACCAGCCAGCAAGCCTGAGGAGGAAACACTGGGAAGCAAGACCAAGGTCCCAGAGAAGCCAAAAATACTCAAGAATTTGAGAGTCTTCTCCAACTATAAGGCCCAAATGCACCCTGGGTGCGAGAAATGAAGCTATGAGCAGTCGTCTGTGGCCTGCTGGCCTGGTGGTCTGTACCCTGAATTAAACTTTGAAACAGAGGCCAGTGGGGTGGGACCACCGCTAAAGAGGCTCCGCGATACCTGACCAGGGACCCCTGGGCAGACGAAAGAGTGCTCCCAGGAACACAGACTGCATGGAAGAAGAAGACTGGGGCCTGTCTGAGCACATGTCACCTCGGACTACACGTTCCTCCATTATCTGGTGTGCTGTGTGGCTAACAGGCCACCGGGCCTGGCCTGGGGCTCAGCAAAGGCACAGCAAGACCCAGACCGTGTTGGCCACAGTTCCCGCCTCTAGTCGGCAGACCTGGGGGATCCCAGTGGGTCCTGGCAGCACAGGAAGCTTCAGACAAGGTCTGGTGGTGGGGTGGAGCAGCCAGTTCTTGAACTCTATCCTTCCAGAAGAAGAAAAACGAAGCAGACATGCTCGTGTTTCAGTGTGATGTCATTGGCTCTGGCTTATGGGCAGAGCTCGCTGCCCACAGCATGACCTCTTATCTCCCAGACACTGGGGTGGGGTGGGGGGGGAACCAAACAGGGGGCCACCTCAGGCAGCTAACATTGACACAAGGGGGCCTGGGGAGCTGGGGTCCTTCTGTGATACCACCAACACCCCCGGGGCCCTGGGGAGTGCGACACAAGTTGAGTCATTCAAAGAGAGCCCAGCCAGAACGGGCATGCTGTGGGCTGCTCAAGTGGGAGAATGTGTCTGTCTGTAGTGGGCACAGAGGACCTTTGCCCTGAGTGTGAGTGTGCCTGTCCGTGTGGGTGTGCATCTCTGGGTGAGTCTGCTGGTTTTCCTGAAGTCTGATCCAAGTGTGCCTGAGCTCCCAGATGGTGAGTATTCCCAAACCTTTCACCCTGGGCAGACCTCCATGTCTCCAGAGTAAATGGTCTTTGTCTGTCTCCCTGGGTGCAGTGAAGAAGGATAAGCTATGAAGCCAATGTACACTGTCCAAGGTCAGGATCATCTAGAGCCGTCCTTAAAGAGGAGGAGAGGAGGTGGGGTCGTGTACTGGGCATACTGTTGTGCCTCGTGCCAGCACAAGCCCAAAGAAAGCCTTGGGAACCCTGTGCCACCCCATTTGGGACCCTGTCCCTGAGCACTCCCAAGAGCCATGGTCTAGCCTGAACCCGGTGACCACCACCTGCCTGCCTGCTTCCCTGAGCTCAAGAGGAGATCAGCTAAGGATGGGGCTGGGGGAGGCTCGGAGACTGAGCGCAGGGGTGGAAATACAGCTCCTGGTGCCCACTCCTCCCGACTTGTGGGAGCCTCATGCCCCTACCCCCTGGTCTGTGAGGTAAGGCTGCCATCCCGCCCTCTTGAAGATACAGAGAGACTCTGTTGTCTCCACACCGGGGTGTAGAAAGGCCCCACGGAAGGTGCCACTCTTGACACAAATGCCACGACTTTGTCCTATAGGTGCTACCCCACCCCCAGGGGCTGTTGCTCTGCAGGGTCCAGCAGTCTGCACGTCAGTGTATTAACCACCAGCCATCTCTCTCTCTCTCTCTCTCTCTCCCTCCCTCCCTCCCACTCAAGCCAACGGCAGCCCTACATCAGGCCTGAGCACTGGGGCCATTGTGGGCATCCTCATCGTCATCTTTGTCCTGCTACTGGTGGTGGTGGACATCACCTGCTACTTCCTGAACAAGTGCGGGCTGCTCATGTGCATTGCCGTCAACCTGTGCGGAAAGGCTGGGCCCGGAGCCAAGGGCAAGGACATGGAGGAGGGCAAAGCCGCCTTCTCGTGAGTGCAGACCTAATTGCCACTGCTAGGGTCTAGGCTCTGCCCTGGGCCGGGGGGCTTAGCATCAGAACCATCTCAGTTTCCCCATTTGGAAACCCCAAAGGTGGAAAAAAAGCATTGGAGAAATGTTTCCTAAAACACAGTCTTTGGGGATTCCTGTTTGAAAAGCTAACACTTGGGCCCAACCCCACATCTAACGTATTAGAATTTCAGAGAAGGTTGAAAATCCCTGCATAGGCCAAACTGAGGGAAATTTTCAGAGCTAAATAAACTTGGAGGGGACCTGCCGTAGCATTGGAGACACACACTTGCCTCGCTGCCGTTCGTTCATGTCTTCATTCATTCAGCCATTCATATATCACTCAACAGATATTTACTGAGCAGCTAAAACAGGGCCAGGCTCTGTTCCCAGACACTAGGTTACACCTGCGAACAGAACAGGTAAAACTTCCTGTCCCTTTGGAGCTGACCATCCAGATGCTGTCCCCTCCAGCATCTCTGGAAAAACGGGTCCTGAGCCAATGAGCAAGAGGCTTCACAGACTCACCGGGTGGACCTGAGCTGGAGTGAGGTGAGAAGAGGCAGAGCAGGGAGTAAGCTGTGAGTGCCACCACAGGGCAGGCACTGTATGTAAATACAGATTATCTGAGCACTTCTCTGTGCCAGGCACTGTGCTAAGCACTTGACATTCGTTGTCTCAGTTAATGTTTCCAACAGCCAGGCAAGGTCGAGACTGTTGCCTGCCCCATTTTACAGATGAGGGGACGGAAGCCAAAGCAAGCGAATCCAATGTTCACGGTCACACAGCTAGCACGAGTGGGAGCTGAGGCTCGGGCCCTTGGGCTTGAGATGCCCATGCCCCCACATCAACTTTGGGCCAAACCCAGGAGCCCTGAGCTGTAGCCGGCTTCCCCAGGAGCCCCCTTCCTGCCCCAGCAGGCTGGGATCGAACCAGCAAAACTCTCTCCACAGGAAAGATGAGTCCAAGGAACCCATCGTGGAAGTGCGGACCGAGGAGGAGCGGACCCCAAACCACGATGGAGGGAAACACACGGAACCCAACGAGACCACCCCGCTGACGGAGCCCGAGTACGTGGGTGGGGAGGGGCGGCACTTTGGCCGCAGAGCCCCACACTCACCTCATCGCCTCACCCATGCCTCGCCTCCCATGCCTCCCACCCACCACTCCCAGCCCAACAATGCAGCCCAGATTCTGGAGCCCTTGGCCAGAAATGCCTGAGCCCACTCTCTCCCTAGAGAGAAGGCATTCCTGGTTCTGTGAAGAGCCTGCAGATGCTCTGAAAGGGTTCCAGGGGTGAGCGGGATCTCTAGACCCTATGCCCGAGTCACACGCACATTCTGGAAGTGGCCGAAGGGGACACAACCGCACTGAGAGAGGCTCTGAGCTTTGAGAGGCTCAGCAGATTCTGTGTAGGATTTTCAAGAGCTCTAGGGTTTTCTGCGCTCTTCCTGGAAGGGTGAGAGGAGGTGGGGCGCGTGGAGCTCCCTGACCCTTCTGTTCTCAGAAGGCTGGGGGACCCTCAGTCAGAAACCGCGTCTGGCCGAGGCGATCACGAAGGCTGGCTGTCGTGAGTGCTGGGGCTTTGAAGGGAGTGGAGTTTAGCGCGGATTTAGTTTAAATCTCTGGCTGGACAACCCTCGACTGCTAGGGGCCTTGGGAGCACTCTTTGTCTGCCATATTCCCGACCTTCCCCATCAGTTCCCGTGGAGCCCCTAGGACAGCAGGGCCCATTCCTCGGGGTCCTTGACGCCAGCAGTGGCGGACGGCGAACTGAGGCTCGCCTCTCCTGGAGTTGGGGTGCAGGCAGGGGTCAGACAGGGCTGCAGGGAGAGGCAGCGCAGGGTAGAGAGCTGGAGGGGCATCAGCAGGGAGGAAGGGCCAGCAGGTCTGTGTCTCCTGTCTCCTCTTCTGCCCGCCTGGGCGTGTGCTTCCTCTTGCTGTCCTCGTTTCTCTGTGGGCCTGTGTCCGTGCCTGTGCGTCACTGCATGCCCTGCCCACGACCCCCTCCTTGGCTGCGGTCCCCCTTCCCCACGCCCGCTTCTCTGTCTCGTCCCAGCTTCATTGTCTATTCTCTTCTACTTCCTGTCCTCCCCACAGGCTGCCGGCCGACACCACAGCCACTGTCGAGGACATGCTGCCTTCTGTCACCACCGTCACCGCTAACTCTGACACTATCACCGAAACCTTTGCCACTGCTCAGAACAGCCCCACCAGTGAGACCACCACCCTGACCTCCAGTATTGCCCCCCCGGCCACGGCCACGCCTGACTCAAACTCTGTGCCCACTGGCCAGGCCACCCCTTCCAAGGGGCCCGGCGCCACCGCCTCCTCCCCTCCCCCAGCTTCGGCCCCCAAGGTTGCCCCCCTCGTTGACCTGAGCGACACCCCGGCCTCAGCCCCTGCTGCTGGCAGTTTGTCTTCTAGTGTCCTGGCTCACCAGGGGGCTGTGCTCAGCCCCAGCGCCCCTGCCAGCGCGGGGGAGGCCTCCAAGGCCCCTCCCGCGAGCAAGCCGAGCCCCACTGCGGCCGGGGCAACCAGTCCCCTAGCGGCAGCGGCCGCCCCTGCCACGGCAGCCCCGCAGGCCAAGCAGGAGGCCCCCAGCACCAAAGGCCCGGACCCCGAGCCCACCCAGCCCGGCGCCGTGAAGAGCCCGACCGAGGCAGCAGCCACGGGCCTCACTAGCCCGAAGAGCGAGGCTGCCTCCGTCAGCGCCACAAACCCTGCCCAGGGCGAGGACTTTAAAATGGACGAAGGGAACTTCAAGACCCCAGATATTGACCTTGCAAAGGATGTTTTTGCAGCCCTGGGCTCTCCTGCTCCCACCGCTGGGGCCAGTGGACAAGCCCCTGAGCTTGCCCCTTCCACTGCAGACAGCTCTGTTTCGCCTGCACCAGCAAAGACCGAGTACGGCCTCTCTTTGTCTGCTGTCGTCGGGTTATGTCCCGTGGTGGTGTGCGTCTGTCTGTGCTGTGCTGTGTCCTTTTTGTTAGATGTGTCTTCAGCCTGTTCCAGGGCTTCTCTTTTGCAACTGTCAACCAGGGGGCTGGGATGAGGCGGGGACAGAAGGGGGGCAGGCAGCCGCCTCCTCACTAATTAGGCCATGTTAATTACGTCTTCTCCTTATCATCGTAGCAGCGACTTCTGTTTTCCCTGGCGGGGTGGGGGGGGAGCCTCGCAGTCGGGCCCCTGATGAGCGTAGCTTGGGAAGCGAGCTAAGGAGGCCAAGGTGCCCTTATTGGCCACCCTGGGGCCCACAGACAGTGTGTTATCCAGGGTCCAGGCCGAGTCCCCACCAGAACAGCACTGTTAACGCAGGAAGAAAAGAGGCAGACCCCAAGGCCCATGTGGGGAGAGGATGTGGTCCAGAGGGCCCTGTCCCACTCCGGCCCCAGATACCCCACCCCCTCACCCCCTACCCCCACCACCACCACCTACTCTTGCTTCTTCTGACCTGGAATGTCTGGGAACAGTCAGAGCTCACAAGCACCGAATGACTGTTGGGTCTCCAAGTTCAAGGGCAAGTCCTTAAACTTAGCAGGTTTCTTAAATATGATGCCAAAATGCAGTTGGAACTGGGGTCTAAGCCTGCTTGCCCCAGTGCATCCTTAGATCAGACTTTCACTCCTGAGACTGAATAAGGCAGAGCGAGACCTAGGTTTTTACAGAGGCTCCTGTGGCTGCCCCCACATGAGTGGTATGCTGCCACCAAGAGCTGAAACAGGACTGTCCCCAGGAGCCCTGAACCCCAGGAAGTAGGACTCCTCTATCCCGCCCACTCAGCACCCCCTAACCCCCCTACTCCCCTTGTCCCCATGTGTAGC